ATGAGAGAGGCTGTGTGAAACCAAAAAAATGATGTCAGAATCGAAACAAATTATATTATAATAATTGTCATTCTAAACTGTGTATTATCATTTTTGATAAGAATAAACTATTATTCCTGATTTTTATTGGATGACTGGGTGTGTGACAATTGAAAAAGGTTATGATATAGATGTATCAATTTTGAAAAAAGATAAAAAGTGCGAAACAAGAATTGGCCTAAGTTCAGGAAAAGTTTTAAAAACATTTTGCGGCAATACAGCTGGAAAAAAAGTTGAAAGTGCCTCACTGGAAATTTGAAAATTTCTTTTTATTTGGGAGAGTTTTTAACATGGAATGACTCCCAAGTGTTGCCCTCAAAAAAAAATCGAGACGTATATGGTTGGAAAGAGCGTAAAAAGTTAATTTAGAATCCAAATAAAATAGTTGTTTAAAAAAAATTTCGGGTAGTTGTGGCCCAAAAAGTACCAAAAAATGGCTATACTTTCAAAAAATCATAACTTTCCCAGTTTGAGCCCGATTGTGGAGATTTGTAAGATATCGTTCGTTTCCATACTTTCCAAAGTTTGAGAAAAGGTTGTTATAAATGTTGTGACAGGAACGCTATTTACCCACAGATGGATGACTGAATGTTTTTCAGAGTGGTTCTGAGACAGTTCAGCATCGATGTCAAATACTTTACTCCTTTTTATGGTTTTCAACTTTTCCAATGATGTAGAGTACCGGATCTGGGAAATCGTATTCAGACTTTTCCGAGGAAAGTTGTCAACTTTTAAGTCTGAAAAAGGAATCTAGAATTTTCTAAATTGTCCGAAATCATCGGAGTATATTTAACGAAATGTGAGCTTCAATTTTGCAATTGGTAACTTTTTTTAAATCCGAAAAATTAAGATAGAACATTTCAAAGTGGCGTAATTCTTATTTATTCGATAACTTTGGCACTTGCGGCTCTTTTTTTTTTAATTACAAACGACACTATTTGTTGGAATGGAAATTATACTAATAAATAATTTTCGTCCGTACTGTATCTTCCCCCGTGAACTGATAAGAAATTTCATTTCTTAATCCCATTGAAGAAACATTTTGCCGGCTTTCCCCGTTCCACGACATGAAGTTCCTAGCATTGATTGTCGTGTTGGCAAGTAAGTTAGACTTGGATTTTTAAAAAATTGTAAAAATCAATTTTGTTATTGTTCAGTTTCTTTAAACGTGGTCACTGCTTGCACCCCGTCAACAAATGGAATGTGCAACCCAGATCTGCTCCAATGTTGTGGACTGCAATTGAAATCCGATTTGGGTCTCTCTAATTGTTATGGTAAAAATCATCATATTCATTTCATAAAAATTTAGTAATTCAGGCATTCTTGCATTCGAACCCGAATGTCACCGACAAGAAATTGAGAATATGTACATCAATGGTATCAGTGGCTTGATGAAAGTTTGCGAGTAATATTTCATCATCTTCCATTTCAAAATCAAATTTCAACTTCAGCTCTTTCAATAAGTATTACGAATGCCTTGGATCTGCAAGACGAGATTGCACCAGCATCAGTTATCATGTCAAGGCCGGACTTCGACTACCGTAACTTTCTTTCAGAGAACCTATCAAGAGAATATGAAATTTACAGTGACGCTGTGAAAGTTGTTTCTATGTACAAGCAGTTTGGATTTGCATGTGGTGCTGGATTCGAAGGATTCGCTAACAACGATGCTTGCATGTCACAGATCTTCGCTACCAAACAAACTCAGATCAACAGTTGTCGCGCCAAATTTGCCAATAACATCTTGGCAGATTACAAAAATCATTGCATGTAATATTCTAATTTCTTGAAGATCAATAACGGTTTCTGAAAATTAAGGTACTTTGAACAATACACCGGATGTTTCAACGCACTGTTTGATCACAGCTCCTGCAACGCTGAGAGTACTTGGTGGGGGTGTGAATACGCAAGACAATCCGGAAGAGTTGTATTACACGACTGCAACTTGCAATGCTCCAGTAAGTTTTATCCAAAAAGTTGCTTTTTTGAAATATTTTTATTCAGCATTGTGATTGAAGTGTGTTCCAATTCGGCATTCTCAAAAAATGTTATGATCCAAAATGTATCCCATTTGTTAATAAATTTAATGACACATTGAAGTTTCAAACACAATAATCGCACGAACACAATAATCACGAAAAAAATGGAGCAGCGGTTTCCAATGTTTTATATACTATGAAGCGGGATGAGAAGAAAAAAAGATGTCCAAGTCAAATGTAACTATAACTGACTGGTTATGTCACTAGTCATTTTGACAAAACTAGAAGTCCAATCCCTAAACTTCTTTGTAATTGAACATCATAGCCATAAGTCTCTCCAGAAAATCTTTCCAATGCACGTTAAACTCGGCTCTCGCTAGTGCGTAGCTGGTTAAAATTCAAGACAATGTGGCGACCGTCATTGTCTATGACGAAAATGTCCATCTGATTGATCCAGCGACGAAGAGCATTGTCGCTGTCAGAGCTTACATCGATTTTCATCCATTTAGTTCTTCCTCGTCGTTTTTATCAGCCAACCACATCATCCTCATTTTTGTTTCATACATTTCCGTTCACATTTCTTTCATTCTCTTCTGATACTGATCTAAAAGACACTAATTAGAAAAAAAGACACCAGTATAGTGGAAATAAAAACCATAACAAGAGAAAAGTGATAAAAGTCGATTTATATAGTCAATTTTAATTCAAAAACTGATTTTTTGTGACTTCAATACTGAGAGATTGTTGTAGTTCAAGATAATAAGCGAATTATAAACAATTAGAAGGAAAAGTGCATGGAGTTTGCACAAAAACATCAGAAGTGCGAACACCGCTACGAAATAATGCACTGAAGAACAAAACACATAAACACGCATGTCTATCGAGATAAAACCAGACCAAGTAGCGAGTATCTTGAATTTAAAACAATCGAATTCTGAAAAACTCAAAATTATGATCTTGTAGAGCACAGGTGGAGACAAATTAACAGTGTAGTTCCCTCTCTCTCTCTCTTAAATTCCTAAGAAAGCTTTAAAAAATGTGTCAACTGTAAAAACACATAATATTGTAATAAATAATTTATCAGTTGACAACTTTTCAATTTCTTCGACAGGAACGAATAAAAGTTGAATGAAGGCAACAATAAGGAGGAGCCTTTAATACAGATTGTACGGTATCTACTCTCAACCTATTTATAAACTAAAAAAATAACTCGATTCAAATTGTTTTGTTTTTTTTCAGGTTTCTTTTTCAGGTCTTTTATTGTTCAAGAAATTCATCAATTATTTGGTGATTTAAATGTCAAACAAAAATATAAGCGTATTCTATCAACTATCAATGAATTTAGAAATACAACATTTTTGTTCTCAAATTGGTCTTCCATACATCACTCGTTTTCTTGAAATGCATTTTGATATATTTTTGTGTAATGACAAGTCTTGCTTTCAATCACTTTGCGAACACGGAAACCAATGACTTTTGTCCTGAGCGATGTATTAAACAAGGTATATCCCGGCACTCAAGGAAGAAGAAAAAAAACAAGCGTTGTAAACTGAGACTCTACTTTTTTGCATCAATCTCGCAGTTGCCGCTATCAGTTCAACACACGGATACGAGTCGAAACGACAACTGACAATCTTTTCCCAACGTGCCTTCCTTCCGTATTTCGTCTCAAACATACTCACTTCGAACTCGAAAAAATGAACTTCTTGCTTTTGATTATTGCCCTATACTCGATAGTTACGCTTACTGTAGCTTTTCCCATGTTAATGATATCTATATTTATTGCACTATTTGCCTACTACAATTCTGTGACGCCAGAAGTTCATCAGGATGTGATGAATTTTGTCGAGAAGTCTATGGATGCCATCCGTCAAACTTGTTCCCCATCCACCCCAGTCGATGACACCATGACCAGAAGTGGAATCGAGAGAGCACGTCGTCAGTATATGGACCACTGCAATGGAATCAATCGGACCTCTTCGGAAGAGGAAAGAGATGCCAAATGGTTATTGACCTACCAGGTTCCCATTCTTACAAGATACTATGAATCTATCATTCAGTTTTTCAAGGGCTAAACGTTTTGTTGTTTCTAGCTTTATTCTAGCTCGTTTATTATTTTTGTTTTGAGATACTATTTCCGAGATACTTTTTTCCGAGTTATTTTCGAACACTAGTCTCTAGAGAGTAGGGTCCCGTCACTTTTTTCTCATTTGGTTCCCCTATTTTACTGAATTTCGTGTCTAAACAATTTGCTATAATATTTTATGTACAGAATGTTTCTGTCAAATAAATGGTTGTTTGAATCTATTAAAAGATTTTTAGAATGAAAGTCTGAAAAAAGTTAAAGCAAGAAGAAAATGCTGACATCTTGGCGGATGATTCATTATGAGTAAACATTATGCGTGGAAGCGCAAAGGCGCCCCCCCCCCCCAGGACAACCTCCCGACAAAAATATCGTCGTGTTTGTGAATCCCTAGGAGGTACACTGCATTTCGAGTTCTCTCAATCTTTCCGGCACACCCACATTTCGTAAGCAATTTTCACAGAGAGCACCTTTCCCACATTCATGTGTGTTTTTTTTCTGCTTCTTGCTTTCATCTTGCTCTCGTTCCCTCATCATTTGGTACTTTGGAGAAAAGACAACGCATCTGGTCAAGTTTAGACATCTGGCGAAGTCTATCAGACACCTCGAGACCCGACGATTCAATTGGTCCAGCGTACGTTTGTATAGGCTTCAGAAATTGTTTCCATCAATGTTGAACATTCGGATTACCTAATCTCTCTCTCTCTCTAGCTCCCTCTATTTTTTAGTCCACCAGCCAATTTTTTAGTCCACCAGTCATTTGACAATTCCCTCGAGTCCATCCATCCGCAACATCAAAAATGCCCATATTCTTGAGCCACTTGCACAATTTTTCAAAGTTCAATTCCTTCAGACCTCCCATTTTCCCACATTTCCTTTCTTCACTCTGTCTTAGGTTAATGTTGTCATTTAATGGTTGGATAAACTTGAATGAGTCAATCATAATGCGTTAACCTTTCTAAATGGAATATAAAATTGTGCATTTCCCTCTTGGAGCACAACCCAGAAGTCACCAACCGCACCTATTTTGGTTTCTCGAACCTGTCTGATATTCCAATTACGCGAAGCTGATAACGACAAAAATGGGTATTATGCTTTTTTTTGTGCTTTCACCTATTGTCATTGAGTCATTTCCTATATTTTTTTTCCTTGTCCTAAAACTCATTGTTTGGACAACTGATTCATTTTTAAAAGAGAAAAAACTGGAAGAAGAACTGGAAACTTCTAGTGAAACTTTTTTGTTTGGTGTTTGTCTTTTCTCAAGTTCTTCATTAGCCATATGGTTACTAATCATCACATTTCATACGTAAGTCAAGTTCAAACCAAGTTTGCTCTTTTTAATCTATTTTTTCTCTGTTTGAGAAGCAGTTAACGCTTGCCAAGCGTTTCTTATCAGTCACACTAGAAGGCAAACCCTGAATTCAAGTTCGAATTAAAGGTTCCAAAAATATTTCCGGAATTTTTTTTTCAAAAAATGTAACAAATTTGGAGGTTCTATACAAGAATGAAAAGTTAAACATTGTAGCCACGGAGCGCAACGAGGCAAAAAGTGTTGGCAAATAGTTTAGGTTAGCAAAGGAAGCGCAAAGGAAAACATCGAGAGAGAAAAATAGGGTAACGACAGCAGCGTTAGGGTTAGACAGGCCCTACCGGTGCGCTCAAGAGACATAGGAGGAAGATGAGAAAAGGAAGATTGGCGAAAAGCAAAAGCTTGCACGGAATAAGAGAGAACTGTTGCACCGCGCGAGTGTGTGGCTAGCAGTCACCACTCATTTACTCATTCGATCTATTTCGCGCATTTTCATTTTTGTTGGATATATATTTGAGATCAAGTCTGGATAGAGACTGTTTTATTGGTGTGGTTGATATTTTCTCACTTCGTTTTGACGAGACGTATAGTGAACTAAAATAAGGTCATATCCATAAACCCCTGATAACTCCCTCCCTTTAATTGTAAAAAAATTTAGTAAGTTCACCTTGGTTCCTGTGAAAATTATGAAAAAGCGTTCAATTCAAAAAATTTTTGGTATTGTAATAAACATTTTGCCAGTTGACCACTATTTGATATACTCAATCAATTTTCAGTTTTGTCAATTTTGACCCAATTTATCTCGCTTCTTGTGAAAAAAAATTCATAAAAATTCAACTTAAAAATACTATTTATAATTTTATAGTACATATTTTTCAGTTTTTTACTTTTCAATATCTCTAAAAGGAAATTAAAGAAATGGATCAAATTAAACAGTCTTTTTGCATGCCTGCGGTATTCAAATATTTCCGTTGTATAAAATTTTTTGCTGATTCCTGTAGATTAATTTTTCAGATTGAGTTCCTTCTTTATGGTATCCGGAAACTGTTTTTTAAGCATCTCGCCCAGCTTACTCAATTATTGCAAATTTCGCATATTTTGAGAAACTAGAAAAGCTCTGGAGTACAGTGTTCTACCATCCATATTTCACTGCCAGGTTTAATCTTCGTTTTTAGTTTCAAAAATTTCAGGATTCCTGAACCCTCGAAAATAACAATATTAATAATAATTCCATTTGTAACAGTTTTCAGTCAGTCACATTTTTGCATATTTGTACTCTCATCTACTACTATTGACAAATCCAACTGTGCATTCAAGTACACAATTGTTGCCACTCTAAATAACCAACAACAAATCCGAAAATGTGTACCACATATAGGATACCCTCTTGAAACGCGAGAGGTCACCACAGGATACCAAATTATCACCCCTCCTCACACTATTTGTTCATGCAACCTCTTGTGTCGTCAAAAAAAATGTTCTATTGTCTGAAAAGCCCATAGGGTTGGCTGTTGCACTTTAGGACAAGCTCAGGAAGACGAACGGAAATTGATGTATCCGTTGGTTGATGTGTTTCTGCTATTGAGTCTACTCTTCATACAACGTATCGTCTCCATTTTGTTATTCTTAATACTTTTTTGTTTTCACTATGCTTGTCTTTTTGATCTTTAAAAATATATATGGACAAAAAAACTGTAAAAACAAAAAGGATTGCCCCTAGTTTTTTCATCTTGTTGTCATCGTCATCTTTATTAGCTTAATGTCGAGCCCACCATCATCATCACTTTCTTCGTTTTCTTTTATTCTTCTTATTTTCCTCCTACTGTTTTGTCTGTTTGGATAGTCGATTTCGCAAACGGTGCCACTACAACCAACTACGCAATTTTCCAATCTATTCGTTCCTCCCCTTAGCATCATCTGGAGACTCTCGTGCCATCTGAACAGAATTAGATTACACCGCACTTTTGCTCCGGAATTTCTGAAATCCCAATGTCTCAGAAAATGTATGTGGTGGTGTCCAGCTTCAATCGTTTTCGAATATATACTTTTATATGTTTTGAATATTGCAATATTGGCTTAAATTTACATTTTTGTCTCGGTTCTGGATTTCTCCATTTCTTCTTGTTTTTTTTTTCAATTTTTCTCTCCCTTGAGAACTAAAAAAAAAGAAGTTGGTCATCAGTAATTCATGCAACTTTTCTGTTCTCCCTTTTTATTCCTTTTCTCCTCATTTCAATTCTCGATTTCACTTGCGCCAACAAACAGTATTTCGATTCTAATTGCATTTTTCAGAGAAATGTCAAAAGAGATTGACATTTCCATACGATACTTGGAGAATGTCCTTTCAACCAACAATTCCACATTGATTCTCAGTGAGTTTAACGTCTTCAGCATTTTTTCTTAGTTTGAAAGTAACTTTTTAGGCAGCACTGCTGCACTTCTTGAAGCTATATCGAAAAATTGTGACACTACTGATATAGATCTCAAGGTGAGTTGCTGAATTGAATGAATTTCATTAATTCTAATTTTAGCGATCTATCATTTCCCTACTCCGAATAATTGACAAAAAGTTCTTCTTGAACCAAGAAGTTGACATCAACCAAATTAAATTCTCTCTTCAAGAAGTTGGGAAGGTAGCGTCTTTTAATCAACTCCCAGAATCATTATTTTATTTTTAGCTCTCTGTAAAATGTCCAAAATTGAATCAAAAACCAGTGGTCCCCGATGTAAAAGGGAAACCGAATGCCGAGTTCCGGGAGATGGAAAACATGCCTAATCCAGATGAGGAAAACATTGACAATCTGTTGAATCAGCTGAATTTAAAGTTTGTTCCCCCATCAATCACCAAATCTCAAACATCCCTATTTTTTTCTAGAAAAGTGCCCAGTTTTGCCCCAGCATTCCCGGATATCAAAGATGATTCTGATGATGAGAACGGAATTACAACTAAGAAAAAAGAGGAGGAACGAGCTGAACAACACGGCCAGAAGGTAGAGGGATAAGTAGGATAAAAACAGATTGATAATACTCCAGGTATGCGAGGAGGAGGTTGTGAAGTTGCCAGACGGGCGAGAGATTCGTATGAAAAAGACTAAAACGGTAAATGTCACACAAACATCAAAACACGTCACAGTGTCCACTAAAAGTGCAAATATGCCTGAAGTCTCGAGAACGTTCATGAACACCAGAAGAGGATTTGATGAGGATGAGGAGACGGAAAACACAAACTTTGGATCAAAAAACCTCCGTGGTGATCCATTTGAACGTTTTCGTTCAATGCTCAAAGATAAAGATGAGAAGACAGAAACAATTGAGGGAGAAACATCAGAACCAGGAACACCTGGCTCCTCATCAAAATCAAAAACAATTGAAAGAACAAGTGAAGTGTCACAAAAAGTGTCCGAGAAAAAAGAGAAGGATGGGCGGCTGCTGGCAGAACATGAAGCATCGAAACTTGACAAGTCCAATTTGTTTGCCAAGCAAGTTGATACATACCAGGTGTGTTTTACAACTGGGAGAGAGAGGGTTTATGGGGTTAAGAGCTAGTTGAATTTGGGATGAGAAACTTGTGTCTTTCTGTTCAAAAGACATCAAACGTAACGGCTTTCTTTTTTCCTACTTCTTGCGATACTCTTCAAAAATGCTAGGATTCCAGGGTACCGCATTAATTGATCGCAAAGGAGAAGGAAGTTACGAAGAAAGTACATTGGTCCGAAACGCTCTTCCACATGATTCCCAAGTGACAACACCTCCACGAATGCATGTTGTTGAGTATATGATGGTGAGTGAATCCTTCAGCAAAAAAAAGTTGAAAAAAAACTATATAGTCAAAAGTCGCAGCTTTGCATAATATTGTCTTTCTCACCTCCTCCGCTGCGCTATTGTTTTTTTTCTACGTGTCGTTCCGTTTTCACATAGTGAAATTGTGTGCTCTCTCAACTTGAAAAATCACTCTTCCCACCTGTAACAGTACTATTTCTCTTTCTAGTTTCCAGAAATTTCCTCTATCCGTTTTTTCCAGATGTTTGGCGATGACAAGAAAAACAATGAGAACGAGTATCTGAAAGGTACCACCATCTCGTCCTACGTTCGTCTCAATAATAATTTAACGTGAGATTATAGGTTCTTGTTATACAGAACATAATCATTTTCGTTTCAGAACTCACGAAGAGCAGTTCCGGAAAAAAATTCAATTTGAGTTTAGCACCGCAGGTAAGTGACGGATGAAAAATTACGTGACGGAACTCTTAAAAAACATATTTAATCAGAAGAAAGCGTAAAGGGAATTACTAGTTATAAGAATTGGATATCGTGACTTAAGGGGCCTCTTGATAATCTAGACTTTTATTAATAGTATTCAAAAATGCTGAGATGTTGGTGTTCAGGAAGTAAGTTTATAAAATCCGGTGAAAAGTTCATTGAAACTACTTCTATTTGAAAATGGCCAGCTTCAAAAAAAAAACTATACTGGATTCCCTTGAATAAAGCAAAACATTTTGAATTCTGTTGAACGATTATTACTTCAATGTTGGAGTTCACGACTGAGATGTATGAATTCGTCTAAATGAGATATACCGTTAGAACCTTAGAGAGCTACAGTGTTAAAAATCCAGAAATGTCACTGAATTAAGTGTCATGGCACTCTCAAGCAGTATCTGTTGTAAATGGACGAAAAAAATGTTTCACCTAATGAATTGTAGTTCAATTTTTATTCACTTGATGTAAAAGTTTTTAGCCTCTTTCAACAAAGTCTACTGTACATTTTAGAACTTTAACAGTTGAGTCTTTTGAACTTAAATGTGTAAATTTGATAAACTTTTGGCCAGCACTGTACATTAGTAATTTTTGCATTTGCGAAATTTGCAAAATTCAGTTTTTATTTCTTTTTTGACAGTTAACATTTTTATGCAGAATCCATATTGCCGAAAAACGTACGGTCGTATAAAATAAAAACTCTCGTTAAAATTAGAAATGCAAATTAGAGAAATGGGAATAAGAAAAGGCGAAGAGAAAACGATCGTTACCTTTGCTAATAAGTTCCGACCGAGACGATGCCTCTTTTTACCCAAATCAATCCAGTTCTGATGAAAAAGGTCTTGCGTAAACAGCCTTGTCATCTCAATTCGCAATCTCTGCGCTAATATGGCAGAATGCTTCTCTGATAACGAAATTCGCATCAATAATCGTTTTTTTGTTCGTGTTGTCTACCGACATTCCGTTTTGGCGCTAAAAAACAGAGATGATTGTCATGGAGCAGTTCGATAATCCAGTGGCGCATTATCTTCAAATCCTACCAGGTGTTTTGAAATTTTCATTCGTAAGCGATTTTCTATCTAAGAGATCAAAACAGTTCAGGATGATATCTTCTTATAAATCAGAAAAAATTCTGAAAAACGAGATTCCCTTCCTTAAATCTAACATATTTTTGATAACATCATCTAGAGATTTTTTAAAATTCCCATAAATGAAAAAAGTAAAATTTTGTTGTATTGTTACTATCAGAATCAAACTTCGAAGTGTTTCGCAGGGTACATTCAAATTTTTATAAATTGTCTTAATTTCCAAATTCTAGGAACTTCATCAACAACTATCGACCTTGATAATCTGTCTGATTTGCTGAATCAGACAGATTTCAATTGCCTCCGACCTCCAAACAAATTCCTGGAAGATACACCACATGTAAGCATGAAATAGGCTTGTGAAATTATTTATGCTGTGAATTTCAGATAGTTGAGCTCCCACCAAAAGCTATCGACTGGCAGAGAGAACTATCTAGTGTCCCTTCAGAGAAGGATCTGCTTTTAGAACACGACGCCGTAGATTATGTTATATTTCGAGAAAAGGAGGGAAAGGTTTTAGAAGTGAGTTTTAGGAAAATAGCGAAAGTTTAAAGGAGGCGAGACAGCAAACATTTCGGGGGCAGTTCGGGGGCCGCAATCGCGCCGCGCTTATGTAGACCATCGGTCGTCAGGCGCTTTCGCGCCCCCGTAGCTCAGCCGGTAGCGGCGCTGTACCCCTGAGCTGCCTGTCATGAGTTCAACCCCTTTTGCGGGTTCTCTATGCAAAATATCAGGAAAACTTTTTTTTTGGTGTCTGGCCTCCTTTAAGGCTTTACGATGGATTTCAGGTCCGTGGAGGTCCAAAGGACGCTCTGGTTGTCTATGCCACACAATCCACGCATTCCAGTTTGCTTTACCAAGAGGCTTTTCTTATCACGTTCAGAACTTTTATCAGCGCTTTGGAGCTGGTGAATAAGCTTATCAAACGGTTGGTGTCTGAACAATTAACCAAAGTTGGGCGATAAATCAAAATTGAGCGATAAATCGCTAATTAGATTGACAATATACACGTTATGCACTTAGATATCTCTACATGTCTCTTGCCAATGATGCCCAATCAGAGTCCATCGCTCGTCACACATTCTCAGTGATTGTCAGAATTATTGATGAGGTTACACAATACGAATTGGACTTTGACCTTATTACCTCGGTTACCTCGTTTGTGTATCGCTTGATTCATGACGGAAATTTCACATATTCCCGGATTCTCAGGTACAATTTAGCTGTGCTTAACATGTCTAAAAATAGAATTCAGAACTCGTTTATTGGACCGTTTGAAGGACTCGTTTGACATTAATACTGTTCTGGGAACCAATCTATGCAAACCAAAAAAGTAATTTTTAATTTAAAACCTCCGAAAATCTATAAATATTCAGACCCCATGACCTATTCGATTTCAAATCCGCCGAAATTGCATGCCAGCTAACATTTATCGACTCTCAGCTTTATCATAGAATTGAATCCGCCGAATTGCTCTGGTGGTCGCAGGAGCAGAATGAGAAGAAGAGCAAGAATCTCGTGAATTTCACAGAGCAGTTTAATAATGTAAATAAAAACATTTTCTGAATCCATTTTTTTTTTTTTTGAAATTTCAGCTCTCCTTCTGGGTTCGAACGTTGATCATCACTCAGTCCACACAGAAGGAACGCGAGCGGCATATGATGAAATTTGTGAAAATTATGAAGGTATCCAGTTGAAATACGTACAAAACTAAATAATTTTGTTTCAGCATCTCCGTGAAATGTGCAATTTCAACTCATACTTGGCGATACTCAGTGCAATCATGTCCACACCGCTGGCCAGATTAGAATGGAGCAAGAATATCAAAGATGCTCTCAAAGTACTGCTCATTTAATTTTCAGTTAGTTCATTAAAGTAATTTTTCAGGAGCATACAGCCGTTATGGACACTGCACAGTCTTATAAGAACTACAGAGCATTGTTACAAACTGCAAAGCCACCATGTGTTCCATATATGTGAGTTTGGGATTACAATAATAGGTTTTGACATTTTTCAATTCACCCAGTTTTCATATTTTTCTACAAACACTAACCAGTGGATTTTAATGACTTCGACTTCTAACCCTGTAATTACAGCGGTATCATCCTGCAAGACTTGACATTCGTCCACGCCGGTAACCCAGACACAATTCCAACCGACCGATGCCACGGCGCCAAGAACATGATTAACTTCCTGAAGCGCTGGAACCAGTTTGCCATTCTTGACAGCATCCGCAAATTGAAGAAATGGTAAGAATAGGAAGAAGGTCGTTGACTTGAGTACTCTTTTTCCACTTACTCGTCATTCAAAACCGATCACATAAACTGAATGGTGTTTTTAGGAATTATGACATCAAGAAAAATGACATTGTCGTGCAGTACTTCAATGGCTTCAAAGATCGCGTTGATGAGGAGCGCACCTGGCAACTATCTCATCAGATCAAACCGTCGAATCGCAAATCCAAAATGCAGTCATAATAGATTTCAGCATAATTTACATTATTTTTCCGAACTTTCTCTTCTCCGTCTGACTCTCTTTTTCCCGTCTCTCGTCTCCATTTCCAGAAAAAAACACTCTCTTCCAAATGATGATAATAATAATAATAAACACAGTCACACAGTTTCAAATACTTTATACCAGATGGATGAAAAAGGACATTTCCGAATGCTTACCGGAGAGAAAGTGACTTCAGGGGTGGAAAAGAAGATTTTCGTTGTCTGTACTTGGCTAAGCAATTACAATCCACATAAACTGAAATTTCGTAAGAGCAATTTTAGGAATGGTTTAAAAGGCGGTCAAAAAATATAGGGGAACTGAAAAAGTAACTAGTCTACACGAAGGAAGGTTAATGTAATCATACCGAGACTTGACAAAAAAATAAGGCATTCACATATAGAGAAATGTTAAGGATAGAAAGAGAAAGTGTAGTAAAAGACAGTTTAAGCATAAGTTCATACAGTAAGAACATTGCAATGGGTTTCAAGCCTATAAAAAAAAAGAAAACACCGAGTTGAGGTGTCTTGAAGGAATTGGACTAGTTTCTGAATAAGCCAGAAAAAGGAAATGAAAAGTTATTGATAGGATAGGATAGTTATAAGCGGGAACTTTCGTTATTTCCAAGATCCTTCGGCTTGATTGGCAATGGTGGCTTCGGTTTGGTGGATTGCGGTGGTGGTTGGATGTTGCTTGGCAAGGAAGAAGCAGCAACAGAAGAAGTTGACGGTTCTCCGTCCAATGAAACCAAGGTTCTGAAAACTTTTAATTATTGAACAGAAAACTTATTAAAATACTATCATACCGGTTGTCGCCACCATCCATAACCAGAGAACCGGATGACTCTTGAGAAGAAGACGATTGAGTGTTGTTGCTGCTGGTGATAGGAGTCACACGATGAGCACTACCGCCGATGGAAAGCATACTGAGCCGCTTGCGTTCAGGAGCAACCGGTGTCTCGGTGATCATATCTTCCATACTGACCGTCATTGGGTTACGAGCCGATGATGATGAAGACGATGGCTCGTTGGGACGAGCGCCAACGGCGATATTGTAACTGATTGGGCGTGATTTCGGTGTCTCGGTGAATGTGGCACGGAACGACTGTAATTCCCTGATTTTTCAAAAGGGTACGTCTAAACTATAATGTACCGGTGGTGGTGGCCTATTTGGGCGGTGCTCCGTATTGCTTCTGCTCAATGATCCTCCATTGGACGAGGTTGGTCCTTCATCCGAAAAATCGTCTTCGTCCGCTAATTGGATCAAGTCACCACTGGTAGAAGGTATTTGAGATGACGACGTTGGTGCTGGTGGCGGTGGAGGAGCCTTCTCTTTCGGACGGAAGGATCGTGGACTGATTGAAGACTGAGCACGTGTGAAGGCGGAAGGAGGAGAAGTGTCACTGAAATTTAGGGATATTGTGACGAATTCCAGGCCTTCGAAAACTCACAGCTTGTCTAAAGTTCCAAACCCGAAGATTCGGGTTCCATTGCTGATCATAAACTCGGTCAACTTGATTCCTGATGGGTTCAATCCATCCAAAATCATTCCAGTGATTGTTGGGCCAAAAACAATGGCGAGGTTGGAGGCGTTCATCCTGAAAAAGGATTATGATTTCAGTGAATCAATTTCCTAGACTTACGAAGTCTCTTCCCTGCACGTCTCCAAATCACACAAAAATTTCATCAAGTACGTGAGATTCTGACGATGTCCACGTGTCATTTTCTTGAGACATGTATCGATAGCGACAAATCTCTCTTCACCCTCCAAACTGAAACGATTTTTGAAACTTGATTGATCTTTCTATTTTCAACTTACTCGACAGCGGAAACCCATTCATTCTGCAAAGAATCCATAGTCAATGAGTTCGGAAGTTCACGTAGATACGCTTTGAGAGTGGAAGCAATTGCATGTGGATCGTTGTGATAGTGTTTCTCGTCAATCTGAAAAAAAACTAATTTTTAAAAAATTAATGTATTGCGTTCTCTTACATCAAATTGCCCACAATCGAGTGCAGCGCGGATTCTCTTAACTTTCGATGCGTTTCCACTGACACGGAAGATCCCACGCTCTTGCATTCCATGTTGTCGAAGAAATTCGCATGTCTTGGTAAGGACGATAGAGATTCTCTGTTGCTGTACGAGTAAATGCTCTTCCAATGGAACACCAAATACTGGCCGTGGAATTGCGGTGGCTGGAAAATTTTCAAATTACTGACACGTGACTCACACTTCCTAGACACTCACCAAGTGCATGTTCCGTTTTTGGTATCATTTGGTCATACATCTCGAACATATATTTGAAATAGTCACGTTTCAAAACCATACTTGTCAGCACGTGCTACAATTATCAGAATTTGAATAAGGAAGGATGAGTAATAACACTAACCTGAGTCAATTGCAATTCTCTAGACACAGAAGAATTGAAAATGTCGGTGACGAGAAGATCCTTCATTCCTTCGTATTTCATCTGAAGCGCGTCCATTTGCTCTTGTTTTGTCATCGTTGGCTCTTTGTCGTAATCCTTTTGAGCAATTTCGAGATCTAAATTTCTGATATTTGCCACTTCAAAATTTTGTTTGAAATCTAACCTGTGCTTACTAGATTCATCTTATCCTTGAGCTTGTTCGCGTTTTTCTCATTGTCTACAAATGGAGCCAATTCTTCATACACTCGACGTTCCATCAGCATTTCCATTTTGACTTTCTCATCAACTTCATTATGTAGCACATCACCGTACATGTTGATCACGTCGTGAAGGCAACTTGTTTTGTAGTAGCTCAAATCCACAGACGCGTCTTTGAGTGTTTGAGACATCGAGAGCTCGTCGCACTTTTTCTGAAAAAAAGTTTTATGATTTTCCTATTAGTTCTATAGTTTACCTTTCGTTTATCAACATTTTCCTCTTTGAACCCTGTGGTCAATGTAGCGGCAAGGTCCTTTCGAAACGCAGAGGCGAGATTCGAAACCTGTAAATAATGATTTTAAAATATCAAATATTGATTTTTAGTGTTTATTATACTTTTGAATTGCGTTGCATAACATTTTCGAATTGTTTGAGCTCCTCGTCGGTGGTTTTTTTGCTGAAAAATGACAGTGTTTGCAGTAGAAAATTGAAAATTAGCAATAAAATTACTTATTATTAAATTTATAAACGAAAAAGCGAAGAACTTACGTTTGAAAATTGTGTTTCATCCGTCTGAAACGGTGACCGACCTCCATTCTACCTGTAACAAGAAATAGCGGCAAATTAGAAAGCAAAAAATGAAGAGGCGAAACAAGTGTAGCACATCGAAAGCATGTCAATATACAACGAGAGGAGAGGAAGGGTCTCTCTCACTGCGCGTTAGTGTTCGCGTGCAATTGCAAGACAGTGCAACGCACGAAGAGACGCAGACAATCGTCTCAAAGGGCGCACTTGCACACCCGCTGCCTCTGCCATTGTGTGATGCGCTCACGGTTCTATTGATCGCTCCATTACTCGGTTTGAATGAGGAATCCAATGTGTTTCTTGTTTCAGATGCGATGAAATTGATGGGAATGTGCTCAATGCGAGGATGGAAAGGTGTTCAATGCAGGAAATTGTTTGTTTTTGCTACAATCCTCTTTGCCGCATCAATTGTTTATTTTTATATAAGTGAGAAGCGAGAAATCGTGGAGTTCACTGAAGGTCCTGTTACAGATTTTTCAATGAAAACGACGACGGAAGTTGTAAACGATAATATGCTAGAAGAAGGTTACTATGCATACGAGAGAGCAGCACAAGAATCAGGTGGAGTGCGAGTAATAAGGTAAAAACGTTTGAAAAATGAAAATTTATAATTTTTGGCTTCAGATTCAACAAAACTGCCAACGATGTCATTGTATTTGTGCATATTCAAAAAACAGCGGGCACGACATTCGAGAAGTTTCTAGTACGCTACCAACAGAATCTACCATGCAAGTGTCAGGCGCACAAAAAAAGATGCAATTGTGGGCGTAATGCGTCAAATGAGGTAGGTAATAGGCAGGAATGGGAGTCGACTTTGCTACTGCTACCCAAAAAGAGAAACTTTTTAAAACTAAAAAAGCGAGAAGGGGAAAACGGTAATGGGTGTCATTGTTTCAGACGTGGCTGTTCTCTCGCTATTCAACTGGATGGGTATGCGGGCTTCACGCTGATTTCACTGAACTTGTCGTCAACAGTTGTGTACAGCGAGTTTTGGATAAGCAAGCAGGTTGGTGGCAAAAAAAGAAGAGCGGAATCTTGATTGCTTTACTGGTAAACTGATAGAGGAGACACAGAAACTTAGGGGGGGGGGGGGGGACAGAGGACAATCACTTACGAAACGACATCCGTTCAGCCAATGCACGTCCTTCGGAGAAAAACCCTCGACGGGGTTCTCTTGAACTGCTCCTTTCTAAAAATGGGATTTTTCAATTCACTAGTATTGAATATTTTCTGGGGGGCTTATGAAAGTGAAAAATATTGAAATGGTTGAAAGGCTTATCGTCGGGAAATCGGTCATTTCATTTTCACTTATCGCATTCTGATTTTGGTGACATTTGATGAGACGCGCTTGATAATAGAAAGGATGCGTCAAAATATCTTTGGATATCTGTTCATCGCTTCTCTCACAGTTGCTTTAGCTTTGCCGAATTTCCCTGAGGGGGAATGGAAAAAAGACAAAATCCAATTTCCGCGGGCGGAAGGATATAAAAAACACGATGATGATGATGGTGGTGTTGATTTGCAGGTCATAAAAAGAAAAGAAACTACTTCTACACTACATTTCTGCGCAACCCAACTGATCGATTCATCTCGGAATTTCGGCATGTTCAAAGAGGCGCTACATGGATATCTTCCAAGTATGTGATAAGCCGCTTTGGGAACTGTTAAAAACAATGTTTCAGACACGTTTGCAACGGACGACCAGCGTCAGTTAACGATCTGCCGACATGCTTCGACCCGCGCATTGGCTGGGAAGGCGTTTCAGTGGAAGAGTTCATCTCATGCCCTTACAACTTGGCCTTTAACAGACAAACCAGAATGTTGTCAAATTTATCACTTGTTGGATGCTATGAACATCTACGTAGGCCGTCTTATGAACAAGACAAAATAATGATGGAAAGTGCGAAAGAAAATCTGAGGCAAGTTTTATTTTGTAATGACTGAGAGACAATGTCATTATTTGACATGAGAAAAATGACACACAACATGTGATTTCAGAAATATGGCATTCTTCGGTATCAAAGAACGGATGGATGACAGTCAGTACTTTTTCGAAGCCACGTTTGATATGAAGTAAGACATTTTCGCCAAAAGCTTGTATGATATGATAGTTAATTTCAGATTCTCTCGAAAAATGTCAGTATGGGGAAAAAGCAAGTCCAACGACACAGTGCTAACCGCATCTCAACTTGCCTACATTCGAAACGTGAACAAGTTAGACTGGGAACTCTACGAATATGCTCTTCAACTTTTCAATGAGCGTCTCAGTCAGCTTCACAGGAAGAAACGACGTCTTCGTTGAAGAGGCCTTCTTCAATTTCTTTGCTGCTCGAAGAGGAGCGAAAAAAGATGAAGAAGCATCAATTTCTCAAATTGCCCCCGTCTGTCTGTTTGCTCTACTCATTAGATCTCTTCCTCAACACCACCGCACAATTATTATGATTCGAAACGGGTTAAACTCAATTGTCTTCTCACACACACGCATAACTTGTATTTCTCAATCAACGAAAAAATTTGTCATTTTGCTCAACAATAGGAATAAACTATTTTACTCACGTCTTCGAAAACTGAATATTTTTGGAAGTTGAATTCGGGACATATTGTTCTAGTTGACTACTACTTCAAGAGAAATGAGCAATTCTCTAGGTAATATTACGAAAAATTATGGCAGTTTCGATTAAGACACTAATATACTTTTTGGCGGCTGGCTGCCATATCAATCAGAATTTTATCAAGACTTGGTTGCTCTAAGAATATGGCTTCATCATGGGAAAAGGGAAAACAACTTTTTTCAGAGAAAACCGCAACGTGTAACTGCTCGAAGTAAGCCATGCCAAACTATTGTTTTTCATTTTCGCTGAAAGTAAACATTACATTTTTCCAAGTCTCTCTCTTCAACCCGAGTTTCGATTCTTCTTTGAAACTGATAAGACCGAATTACTATTCTAATACAAGATGCCCATTGAGAGTGCTTTTCTTTTCGACTCCTCTCCGATCGATTCTCTGCGTCATTTGCTCTCGACAGGCATTGTCCCAATGACACGTCCACGCACACGAACACAATGAAAACAACAGATTTTTCGCTGCGTCTCCACGTATCGCACACTGTCTCACAGTTATCCGTCCCATGATGTGGATCTCGATTGGATGACCCCGAGTACAATAGAAAACCTCCCGGTGCGCGCACAATTATCCGCGCGGACACACCCTCTGCTCGCTCAATGTCCCGTCCTTGGCCTTTGCCTCGCTCTCTGCCAATGCCCCTCCAAACGACACTCCGTCATAACGCAGGCGCGCGTTGTTTAGCGTAAATACTCCCTCTAGTTAGCAGCAATTTATTTCTATAGCTTTTTAATGTTGTGACTCGCTCATTTCTTGTATTTTCTTTTCTATAATTCCAATTAAAATTCAATTTCGGCTGGCCGATGACTACAAAAAACACTAAGTTTGTGGATACTGTTTCTTTTGAAAGGTGAGAAGGTGTTTCTTGATGAATAATGAATGAGCGAACTAATTTTCAGGCTCCAACAAGCTATCAAGGATGTGAAACAAAAAGAAACAAACCTCCAGACATTGAAAGAGTCAATTGATGATGAAGACGGGTTGATTGTTCAGTATCAGAGGTCGCAAGATTTGGTATCGTTTAATTTTTCCCTCAAAAAATAAATAGTCGTTCATTTCAGGAGGCAAAAATCGAAGAAAAGGAAGTTGCATGTAGGAAGTACAAGGTACAAATCGAAAGAGTTCAAAAATTGATACTAGCAAAACGACGGATAATGTACGAAGTGAAAGATAAGATAGACAAAAAGGTATGTGGTGCATTTGAGGTTCAAAAACGAAGGATTCAAGGTTTAGAATCAAGACAAACAGAAACTAATAGACAAAACCGAAGCATTGGTTGCCCAGGTCGAAACAAATAAGGACTTGAAAGAGAAGAAAAAGTGAGTATTTGATTTTCTTTCCATTGAGATTGAAGTTGTTTCAGGCGAATCACACACGTTTTGACCTGTCTAGTCTCCTATAGAAAGACATTTATGATTCAAGAAGTCATGGAAATTTTCAAAATAGATATCGATGGCGGTCCGGCATCACTGCAACCAAACCGAAAAACCAGTGATTGTCGTTGCGTGCTTGTGGACACTATCCGAGGATTACATCTACCTCACGTGGCTTCTGTTCAACGTAAGTTCAATATTTCCGAATTTAATGATCTATCCAAAACGTTACAGTATCCCCACACAACGAACGAGAAACTACCGCAGCTATCGGACTTTTGGTTCACTTTGTCAATCTCATCAGTAGAATTCTTGGATACTCACTTCGATATCCAGTCTTGCCATATGCGTCGTTCTCAAGAGTGTACAATCCAGTGGAGAATAAATTGTGAGTTTTAAAATATAAAGAAGGACAGAAAGATTGGTTGGAAATTCAAGACAATCTGGAATTTGGTTCACCTGTTCCGCAAAATATGGCAGAATGAATTAAAATGACAATTTTCTATCAGAGCTAGTTAAGGAGGCGGATTCAATAGAAGACACTTTCTGATAGGAAGACTGTAAAACTTGAGTGCTAGGACAGAAAACATTGTAAAAGAACGGTTTCCTATGAAACGCACCATACAATTAATAAAGCGCAAACAAGAGAATAAAGAGAAAATAGATAATGCTATCATCAAGTACCAAACATGGAAGTCTATCTCAAAAGCTAAATACATACTATTTTTTATTATTTTACAACTCGACAGTGGCTTTGATAAAATTTAATATAGAATTTGAAACTTTAATAATGATTCATATGTATAGTACTTCTTCGTAAGCCTCCTGTGATTCATTGCGTGCTCTTACTTCTCTCAAAGCTCACACATTTATTCTCACGGTTCTCAAAAAAAAAAGGATTACAACTTCTGTCTTCCGTAGGAGAGAGCGAAAAAGCGCATGCTTCACACGCAAAAACAAAACACGGAGGGACCGTCTGTGTCTGTCAACGTTTGAATATCATGTACAACTTTTTGGCGCGCAAAAGAAAAATATGAGGTAGGAGAAGAAATATTATATGTATCCTTTCAAGTGCAAGGTGAGATGAGAGGGTGGAAACGGAAAGTGTTTCTTATTCAAAAAGGAACGTTTCATAAATGTATTAGCAGCATTGGCAAACATATGCGCGGCGCAAAAAGGTATGAGGATATCAGCGCCGGTGTATATGCACCTGGAGTGTCACGTAAGTACGCTCTACTGATAGGTGATTAGTAATGAGCGAAGAGAAGAAAGTATGTGAAGGGGTTTTGGAAACATGCACATTTTTGGAGAGGGGGATTGAGCAAATATACTTTTTTCTGTGGCAAAACTAGGCTGAATATGCCGTAAAACACACTTTTTCGATGGCAGCCTCTTGAGGCGTTCGTAACACTTTGTGCCACAAAAAATGTTTCGCTACAAAAATATCGATCTTCAAAACAATAAGAGAAAGAAAATTTGAAAAGAAGATTCTTAATCTAGAGGATTAGTTTGAGAAGGTCGGAACTTTTGAACGCACAGTTTTTCTTTCAAAAAGAACATAGTCGTCTTGACGTCTATAAAAAATCACAAAAAGTTATTTAAAAAAGCAAACTGAATCAATTTCAAACAAAAAAATAGTGCCAACTGAGAGTCACTAACAGAAAAAAAAGAAAAAACCACTTGAAAAAAAAACCATTACCGATATTGCCTAATCGTTCAACAACGACTTATCTCTTTAGACTCATCTCTTTAAACCAACCAGTCCTTTTTTCAGGGCAATTCTGTCAGGATCGAGAAAGCGGTCGGAACGAGAGAAATTCTTCGAAGGACTCGGATGGATTGGGAAAAATATTGCTCAGCTGAGAGCGGATTGTGGGATTCCGACTCCGGTGGCAGATAAGACGCTTTCGGTGCTAGCAGATTGGATTCGAGCAGTGACAGAGGGGTAGGTGGAAATGGGAGAAAAATGATTTTTTACAGTCTGGCAAGAGTTTTTTTCATACCCCCACATAGAAAATAATAAAAATTTTCATAATTTTCCTTTTTTTTGCAGAAAATACGTTTGCATTTATGATCGTCCAATCGACAGCTCTAGCAGTCCCGCTAGCCTACTAATCAATTTCCAACCATCAACAGAAGGTCTAGCAGCCAGCTCGGATTAATTTTCGATTTCTTTCCCTGTGCATTTTGAATTAATTTATTTTTTGAATATTTTCATCTGGTTGTCAAGAAAAACAATTTCGGTTAAAAGTCATATGTATATTCCACCTGTGCTTGTTGTTCTAATCATTTTTTATCACCAGGTTAAATCCCTGCCACATACTTTTTCATCAATTTATTTATTCACAGTGCAACTCGAATTTCAGACACAATGGATGAAAGCAATGACAAGGAGAATGAGTTTGGCGATTCGTTTCTGGAAGACTCTGGAGATATCACACGTACCACTGAGGATGAAGATGAGGTGAGGAATTTAGAAATATGAAAGCAGCTGAACTTCAATTCAGAACTTCAAATTTTCAATAAATCGTAAAAAATTATTTCAGGCCCCACTAGAACCTCGATTCAAATACGAACGGCTCGAAGGAGAAAGCACACTGCCCTTCATGAAAACCGCTACATTCACATCAATCGACCTGCACGACAAATTCATTGCTATAGGAACTGCTAGCGGGCTCATCTATATTCTTGATCATCATGGATACGGAAATTTTGACAGTGTGCCGGTAAATCTATATTCCAAAATTGATGAGTTCTTATTCAACAATTTTCAGCCACTGAAACCACATAGATGCGCAGTTTCAAAGTTGAAATTCGACGAAACGGGATCTTACATTCTCAGTTGTGCCAATGATTCAAAATTGGTGGTCTCCGGAATTGGAAATGACAAATTGTGCTGTGTAAGCTCTTTATATATATATTTTAAAAATAATTTCCAAATGATGATTTTTTAGACAGTGAACATCCAAGTGATGCCAAAATCGATTTGCTTCTCTCCAGACTTCATTCGCCAACAATCTGGTCACTGCTTTATTATGGGAGAGCGTAATCTGGTCCTATATGAAAAACGTTTATTTCAATATAAAGCTTCCGTAAGTTTATAGTTTATATTGATTTTGAAAGATTTTAAAAAACGACGTGAAAATTTTCAGAATTTGTATTCTGGTTCTGAGCGAGATGGCTTTATCCATTGCTGCTCTTGGAACGATAATCTTATTGCATTCACCAATGACACTGGAACACGGGTTTATGAAAGGTAAAACAAAGTTAAAAGGTCAGATAACAACCGCTGTGTTAGAGTTTGCAGAGGTACAGAAAAGATATTAACAAGTGTACAACCAACGCATGACGTGGATCGTGTTCGCTCTTCAAGATGCCCACCAAAGCATATGTGGATGTCGGAGAACACCCTGGTGATCGGATGGGCTGATACAGTAACTGTACTGAAAATCAAAGGAAACGAAGGAATGCGAAAAGGAGAGATTCATCACATTTTCCACGTCTCCATGTTCATTTCTGGCATTTCTTACCTGCCCAAAAACGGTTCGGATTACGAATTGTTCCTGGTTGGTCTTCAAATGGAAGGAGAGGATTTTGACGATTGCGCGGTACGAATTTCATTTTTTTAAAGGAATTTACAGTTAAATTTCAGTCTGTCATGTCTACAATGACCACGTTAACTGCTATGGAGAGTTCTGCCACTGCGACATTGAAGACTTGTGTAATCCGGCCACTCGGGCTCAAGGACTACGAGCTACAATCAGAAGATGAGATAGTGAAGTTAGTGATTTTCCCGAGACTTGTTTAAAAAACAAAAAAACATTTCCAGTATCCGACTATCAACGCACACCCTACCATATATGATTCATGGACTTGGCATTCCATACCTTTCCACTTATTTCATTTTGACGACAAAACAAATCATCATGGCTGTTCCGTACGGTCCGGAAGATGGAATCAAATGGCGGCTACAGTATAAACTGTACACCGAGGCATTCGAAATGGCAAAAGAACATGTTAGTGGTTTTTTTTTGTTCAGTGATGACTACACTCTAATGACGAATCATCTAAACTAAAACAATAAATTTCAGGCGGACATGCTTGCAAAAACAGACGTGAGCCCCAAAAAAGTGGGGCGAAAGATCATCGAGGGGTACTTAGAAAGTAAAAAGGCTAGAGTAGCGGCTTCTTGGCTTTCTTCTATCTGTGGAGACTGCAAAGAGGAGTGGGAGTGGGCTGTGGATAGATTTCACGACGCTAAAATGTCTACATTGTTGGGTGATGTGCGTTTTGAAATTCACAAATCTGAAATTAATACTCAATTTTTAGGTTTTACCTGATTCCAAGCCTAGACTCGATCCCAGTGCCTATGAAAAAGTGCTACTGGCCTCACTTTTCAATAATGTCAAGTTGTTCCGGAGATTAGTGCAGACATGGAGTCCGGACTTGTACATGACCAGCACAATCATCGATCAAACACAGTGGCGAATCCAACAAATTAGCAAATCAGAGGACATAGAAGATGTTGAAGAGGTCGAGAAGATATTGATGGATGCGCTAGCTCACTTGTATCTTTATGAGAGGAAATATGAAAGCGCTCTGAAAATTTTGATGATTTGCCAGGATTTTCAAATTTTCAATGTCATCGATAAGCATCAACTTTTCGATCTTGTGAAGGATCAAATATCAGATCTGATGAATATTAACTCTGAACGTGCTCTTCGTCTTCTTTTGGACAATGCGGATTCTGTGGAGCCATCTTTCGTGATGGCGAAGATCAATGGACAACCAAAACTTCAGCTCGCCTATCTTACAAAGCTAATGAGTAGGAATGAGGGAATCGAATTTGCCGACAAAGCAGTTCAGCTGTATGCGGATCATGAGAAGAAAAAGTTGCTGCCATTCCTGAAGAAAAATGTCAACTATAATGTGACGAAGGCAAGAAAATTGTGCTCCGATAGAGGATTTGTGGAAGAGACCATATTCCTCCTAGCCAAAAGTGGCAATCACTATGAAGCCGTTAAGATGATGGTTCGAGAGTATAAGAATATCGAAAAGGTGATAGCCTACTGTAAAGGTATGTAAAAACAGAACCATGAGATATACTAGCCCACATCCTAGCCGTTTCTACAGATCAAAACGACCGTGACCTTTGGATTCATCTTCTCGAGGTGGTGGCAGACTTCCCGACCCACTTCTCACAGCTGATCATTGAAGCATCCAACTGTCTGGATCCAATTCTGATTATGGACAAACTCCCAGACGACGTAGACATCCCAAATTTGAGTGAAGCGTTGGAGAAGCTTCTGACAGATTTTACGAATTATGTCGAACTTCAGCAGTGTAAGTTTTTTTTTCGTTTTTCGTTTTTCTTTTTATGAAATTTGATCATACTGTTTCAGGCTGCTACGATTCAACACTAAATGACCTGCACGTGCTCACCAACAACTTGATGCTTGCATCGGATAAATCAGTCTCTGTCAGTCTAATGACTAGATGTAGTTTGTGTTCCCAAGTAATCATGAATACGGGTCAGGATATGATTCCGCGAAAGTTCAACGATATCAAAGTGTTCAAGTGCGGTCACATCTTCCATCTCACTTGCTCGGCTTCCGAGGTACAGTAACCAGTTTTTTCCTCTAATTTCTAATTTCCAATTTTTTCAGATTGATCGCCGACAAATGATTGAGGACGGGATTTGCATTGCGTGCTCGGACAACTCGGACCATGTCAACGTATAACTATCATCAACGTGTAAAGTAATCCTCAACAACCAAAAACCTCAACAACAGTTCATTTCATTACGGCTACTTTTGTTTCTCTGTGATATCGATTCTTTCAAGGTAGAATGCCATTTTTATGTGTATAAATCTGTTTTTGCCAGCCAATAAACTAAGCAACGTGTATCAAGAAATTTTTGGTCTCTTTATTAGCAATATTCATGGAAATTCCGTCGTTCAGATTTGAAAATTGGTAGTTTTTCTCAAAAACATTTCTTGTCCTCTCTCTTTAAAATTTCAGCCAATAAAAAACAAAAAAACATAGAAGAAATGACTTTGTTTTATGCTTATTTTTGACAGTAACGCTGTGACGTCAATGACATACGTGTCCTCAAAAACATATTGCTGAAAATTAGGATAATTTTGTTTCTAGAGAATTATTTCCAGATGATAACGAAAAAATGACCTGAAAAGAAATCATAGGTTTTAAAACTTGATAAGGCTTTTCGCCAAAAATTCGATTTTTTCAAAAAAAATTCGCCGAATTATTTGAGGAGAGCTAAACTTTGTTCATTACTTCATAACACCTTCATTATAACACGCGGACAAGACCATTTTAAAACTTTATTTCCAAAGAAAAAAGAGACAAGCTTAAAAATTCGCATCTTTCAATCTTTACACAATACACAGCATTTTTTTACATTCTGTTCATACGTGTTCACATCTTTCCTAGCTCTCTGATGCTTTAAAATGTTATAATGGCGAAATGTGAGGAAAAATAGGTAAAAAAGAATGGGGGAATTCGAAGTCCAAGCTTCATCTTAAATGGAGGAAAACGAAGAAAAGGAAGAAGAATAAAAATAGCATCAGCTATTTTTTGATGAGTTTTTTTGGAATTGAAGGGAAGAAAAATTCAGAAAGTTGTTACAGAAAGGAAGGAGAAGTTAGAGGAAAAAGAGATGATGAAAAAGGACAATTCTATGGAGCACTGTGACAGATAAGAAACAAAGAAGGGGGAGATGACGAGATTTCACTTTGAAATGGCAATTATGTATAAAGCTCGTGGATCTTAATTCGAAACAAAGAGTGATATAGAAATGATGGATCCTAGTTCTTAGAAGTCGGAATGGTGGGCAGGTGAGCTCTTTGGTCTTCAAGGCGACCGGCTTGCATACGCATTACAATGGCGGTCACGTCTTCTTCTTTCTTTTTATCGAGTTCTGGAACAATTATTTTTCAATTTGTTTTTTCGCTCAGAATCCCTTACCTTCCTGTCCTTCCGGTTTGATTGGTGGCAGCTCGCTGCGCTGCTCGTCGAGTCGTTGGCTTTGCACACGCATCAGCCACTCAACCAAATGGTCGTCAAGCTCCTCGTTTCCTTGATCGCTGAAAAAGGGAGAAAATCGTTTAGTGCGGCAATTTGAGAAAGTTATGCTTACGTGTTGAGACGGCGAAGTATGATTTGTCCGTTGGGATTAAGGCCTGGCAAGAATGGGGCTCTCTGGTCGTCCATTCTGCGTTCTTGAGCGTTCAGAATCAAGTCGATTAGAACTTCGGACCCGTCTGAAATATAAATGAATTAGGAAAAAAAATTCAGACAAATTATAGTCAGAATAGGATAGGAAATAATTGTAATTCTTTTTTGAGTAAAACCTCAGTGCTTTCATTCTAGATCCTAATGCTAGATAGCCGCAGGCTAAAGACAAACCTAACATGTTTTTTGAAACATAAAGACATTTCCGGTATCCACGGACGTTAGAACTCACTCAAACGCTAGAAGTGTGTCACTTACAATCCACAGAGTGCCGTGTGGAAGAAAGGGAACAATAAGATGAAGAAGGAGGGGCGGGGTGAAGAAAGAAAAAGGTTCTGAGCGAGAGAAATTCCTCAGACTCGACCTCTCAAACACTTTTTTAAATCATCCTAGTGTCTTTTCATGCGAGAAAAAATGAAATAAGTGTATTTGTGTGAGTGCCTTGCTTCTTCGACTTTTCACTCGACGTAGTCTGTTTTCTTAACAAGACTAAAGTACAAAAGAATAAAATAGGGAACCTTGATGGTGGCACAGGAAGGCAAGCGACAACTCATAAAATCCTAGTAGTAGTCGTACTAGAATACCTAAAGTGTTATGTGCCACATGCACTAATCTCATAAAAATGGAGTAGGAGAATTCTGAATAAAATCTCCCTGGCGACAATTGAGAGCAAATTCGCCATCTTTTCAGATTCCCATGAAAAGGATGAGTTGTTGTCCACACACACACACTCATGCTCCGTCTATGGCGAGACTAGTCTCAGTGACAACAACTTGCATCAAGGGACAGGATTCTGGAATTGCTAATGTGTCCAGAATTCCTCTTCCTTTTCCTGTCTCTAACTCTTTTCAGATTTATCAACAAAGATGTTTTTTACCATCGTTGAGCGGCGCCGAGCTTTCTCCGGTGGTTTCCGGCATAGGTGTGGATTTCATCTTTTGCGGGAGGCGATGATTTATGTGAATGTGCTTAACGAATAAAATGAGGTGGTGATGATGAAAGCACTAATGGAAAGGAATGTCGAATGCGATATAGCAAAAAAGAGAAAGACAAGTTGTAATAGCTCATAAATATTTAGTAGCTGTGTCACAGAAACTATTCTTCACGCTCGTTAATTTGATTCACGACTCGTGAAAGAACACATACTAATAAATCACGTTCATGCTCTCCACGCGCGTACATACCTGTCGACGAGTTGTCGGGCTCTGTGTCGGTTTGGCGGACTCTGAAGTCGATGTTCGCGTTGAGAACCGATGCATCTACTCGTTGATCGTTCATCCTTTTTGACTGCAACTTTGCTAGCATATCGAAGAACTCCTCCTTCTCGTACCGATCCTCAGCGAGTGGATCCTCGGGCGTCTCGAAATAGATGAATGGTTCAATTGAATGGAAAAAAGAGTGGGCAGCAAAAAATAAATGCACATATGTTTCTTTTTTCGTCTCAAATCAAAAACAGGAAGTGATGGAAAGATGGTGGAAGGAAGGGACACTTGTCACATTTCCGGAAATTCTAAACTCACATTAACTGGTCTGTCGTTGATATTTCTCTTCTGGAAGAATGTAAGTCGAAGCTCGCGGTGCTCAATTTCGGCGGGAGCCGGATCGGCTGACTGGTCGATTATGAGCTAAAAATTGAGAGGAAAATTGAAGTGTAAAATGGAGATGGATGGAAGGGAAGAACCTAGTAGTGGGGCGGAGTCAGATTTGATTCAGATTTGTTCTGTCATGTCACAAACAAATATTGTCTTTGGGTTCTGGTTAAAATCTTACTAAATTTCAATTCAAACTACAATAATTCTTCCTAGTCATGTGGAAAGAATTTTGAAATACAAACTAGTACAGAAGTGAGTCACTGACGGAATAAAAAACAGAAATTTTGTTAGAAATGAAAAATCTAGAAATCCTGACTCATCGGACTTACCTCGATATCGTCGATAAGCACGTTTTCTTGTCCGGCCTCCAGAATTTCGTGCAGCAAATTATCAATGTCAAGGATGGCACTCGTGTCGTTAACCTTCAATGAAAAAAACGTTTTGCACCACTCCCATCAACTCCCATCTTCTCCCACCCTCTCACCTAATAGTTTAAGTCTTTCAATGAATCAAAAGAAAAAAAACCTAATTAAAAAGCGATTTAACTCTTCAAAATCATTTTTTTTTTCTTTCAATTGACTGCATGTTTTTTCTCTCATTTTTTCTCTCTAGAAAAGGGTTAACTCAGAAGTCATGGGTCTGAAAGAAGAATTAACAAGGAAATGGGTTTCCTCCCCTTGGTTCTATGGTTCGGAATATCCGTAACTCTCCCCTAGCACAAAATGAACTCGCTAGGGAAAAATAGGTTTTTATGAAATTGACAAACGAACGTGACTATTCAGCAAAAAATTTTTTTGTTGAAAAAAAAACGAGTTGAAAACAAGTGAGAAGAACAGGGAGATAAAAGTTGCATGGGTTCTCCAACAGACGTTGTCTTTTTGTCGCAAAATGTTGTTCTTGTTACTCGACGGACTCAACACAGTTTTGAAGTGCTTTTTTGCAGAATTTCAAAAAGAGAAAGAAAAACAACACGTGATGGAAGACCGTGAGAATCTAAGATAACATACCTGAAGTGAATTCCGTTTGGCGAGAACCAAGTAGTAGAGTGCCTTGCGACGTTCACACAGATTGTTAAATGACAAAGCAAGTGAGTAACACGATCGAAGCTGTCCGGAGATGTCCTCTAAGCTTCTGGCGATTTTGAGATGACGTTGGAAGTATGTGATTGCTGGAAAAATAAAAATCGTATTCCGGGATGTGAACTGGGGTGATGAACAAGGAACAATGGAGATTGAAAGGAATATGAAAAATAGGAGAAGTGAATAAAAAGGAAAGAATGACGGAGACACCGACTATTTGCTTTTCTTCTCAAAAAAAACCCCCTTATGACGTGAGTGTATATAAATGTGTTTTAAATCCACAGATTGCACGAGTTCGTTTTAAAAGGGTTTTTTCTTGTTCCAGCATTATCAGCCTCATCATCAATTGACAGTTGTCTCTATTTTCCCACAATTTGTCACAGTGAAAAAGACAAGTGAATTCGAATAGCCCTCCTCTCTAGCCCATCCTCAATGGAAGGAACAAAACAAAAGCACATACATACATACATACCACGAGGGTCCCACACGAAGAAAAAGAAGAAGTAGAAGAGGAGGAGCACCAAAAAAATAATTTGAAGCAAGAAAATATCTGCTCTCCCCCATTTACAGAAACATGAAGTGGCGTGTGATTGGATGTAAGATGTAAAAGGAAATGATTCATGTCATTTCAATCGTTGTCGTTGTCGGATCCTAAGAACCTTCAAGTGTTTGCATTTCGGTGGTATTGTCGGTGATCTGACAATGTGGTGGAAGAAGGCAGAAAAATTGAGGAGACCAAAAAAAGAGAAGAACAAATGAACATAGCAAAAAATAGAATATGGCTGGAAATAGGGGGGATAACAATTCCAGGAACCGCCGCCATCGCGGTTGTTTTTTAGTTATCTCTGACAGATATAAATTCAATTGTGGTATTAGTCCAGTTATACTTAGTGATGGTACTTTGGAAAATTGAAAAATTAGAAATCATGAGGTGTCTCGTGGAAAATCACACGCTTATGTACTAATTCAAAACGACTTTCTCACGCTTGAATTCTGTAGCGGCCCTCCTAGTTAGATATAATAATATATATATATATATATACTTATTCATCTAGAAAATATTAATGGGTATATGGGAAGCTTCAGTTACTAGGTTGCTGTCTGAAAAATCAAAACTCAAAAATCTCGTGTATAAAGCTGAAAGAGAACGAAGAAAAAAGGGTTTTATGCATCGAAAGAGAAGAATAGGTGAAAAATTCCTATATGTGTTTATCAAATGATGCGCGTGCGAAAGAAATCGTCACATAAGATTTCTATGTCAAATGTTCAGCTGACCAGCTGTTTGTGAACATAACATACAGCACGAAACGAATGGAGTGAAAACGAGGACAAGTTGCCCAGCAAAAATGCTATTTTCAACGACATAAACTGACTCCGGAACTTGGAAAAAAGAAGAACGAGTAAGAGAGAAAAGAAACGGATCGGGCCGAAACGTCATCAAAGAGCAACTCTGAACTACCATCTGAGCACCAAACGACAAGGTATGCCTATTGTCAAAATGGTGAAATTCAATACCTATTACCTGTTGTGGACTTTTTTTGCAGGATCTCATGTAGACCCTCCTTTTACCCCCAGAATCCCTCGTGATGGTCACGTACCTTTCTGGACTTCTTTTCCAATGTAGAGAGCGTTGGCCAACGAGTAGGCCATTTGAGCCTCCTCGGTTTTATTTCCGATTTCTGTAGCCAGGTTGTAAGCGAGTCTGAAACAAAACAAATAGAATAGAAGTTTGATAAAAAGGGAAGAAGTCTGTTTTCGTCTAACAAGAAACAAAAAAGAATTACTCATCCGGCTCTCCTCAGAGGCGTGACGCAGATTTCGGTCTGTAATCGAGTGGTGGGGCGGTAACTCACTTATAATGCTGAATAGCCAGAGGCATGTTCGATTTCAACGCATGACAATTTGCGATATTCGCGTGTGCCCGTCGCATTGATGCACGATCTCCGTATTGTTGTGACAATTCCAATCTCTGAAAACACATAGAAAATTAGAGATGCTGAGTCAAGCCTCGTGTATGTTTGCATCTTCAATTATTCAAAAGAAAGAAGGTTCAGGTTGTTTCTCTCTCTCTCTCTCTCTCTCTCTCTCTCTCTCTCTATCTCTCTCTTTTTTTCAATTTGCTTTTCCCCTCGCTTCCACTCATTCTGACGTGTGTCTCAAGAGTTCCGTCTTCTTCACCTCATTTGGCCAAAAAGAGAAAGAGTTTGTGGTAAAGGGAAAAATTTGACAAAGAAATTGAATCTGGCAGGATAAAAGAACAAAAAAGAAGAAGAAGTAAGAGGAAGTGGATGATGACGACGATGCAAGAAGGGGGAGAACCCACTGTTCACGTTCCATTGGTTCTGTATTTTGGTAACCTCGTTTCAGGAAACAACAAAAAACAGAGCTTTCTATTATCTAGATTTCATATTCCTTTCTGATTGAGTCAGGGACCCGGAAGTTAGAGATGAAATTTGATGACATCCCTTGGAGGACACATGTACCAAGTTGAAACTTGAACTTGGTTTTCCGTCTATTTTTTCTTTTTGGTTTGGTTTTTTGAATTCTGGAATTTTACATTCTGTTTTCCTTGGTTTTTTTCTGCAGTTAACAATTCTACACCTGACAAGAACAAACAACATGTTTTGTCTGAAATGTGATCGGAAATGAGAGTTAGGTTTCAACGGCACGTGGAAATTGGAGGAATTGGGGCAAAAAATGACTGACAGGCACAAAAAAGAGAGGTTTTGAAACTTTTGAAATCTAGGAGCAAAAAAGGACATGACACAAACAAGATTTCCGGTACGTCGCATGTCATGTCACACGTTTAACGCCGCGGAACTTACACGTTTATGAAATTCAATGGATTGATCATAGTCTCCAAGACAATAGAAAGTGTTTCCTAGACTCCCGTAGCATCTGCCCATCGTAAGTGGATCATCCAGAGCCTCTGCGACTTCGAGATTCAACCTGGAAAATAAAAATTGAAGGAATTTTAACTTTATGATATTTTCCTTACTTGAAATATTTGGCAGCGTTCTCAAAGTCCGACTGGGCCTCGTCGTTTTTGGCGTCGTTCCGTTCCTCGGCGGCTTCCAACTTGGTACATCGTCCTCGTTCAACATAGATGGTGGCAATGTTGTAATATGCACGGGATTTGAGAACCTGGAAAAGAGTTATACGATTTTCTATAGTTGGGAAAGATTAGGCAAAGATGACTGACATTTGAAAATCTTTTCTAACATTCAGACTACATTTAGAAGCGTGATATACCAGAATTTAAAGATTTTTTCATGGCTCTGTCAAAAAATCAAAAGTTGGGTACCAGTTTTATTGTAAGCTGAAACTTCTGGTCTTCAGTCGAGATGCATACTAAAAATGGGGAATCTGATCTGCTTTGTTTCGGAATTAAAACGTTATATATCCTTGTTCACGAGGAAATTTATGAAATCCTTTTAGAATCTATTTTAAAGCTGAAATTTTGATACTATTACGTGTTTCCAGCTTTGTTTTACACCAAAAAAAATGTCAGTTGACAAGTTGAATTTCCGAATAAATCTGAGTTTGAAGTTCAAAAAATTCGAATTCATGCTCATTTCATAAAACTTCGATTGCTCTTTTTTATGATTTGAACAGAAAAACGTTTCTGGATTTAATATTTTTAGTTTCCAGCTAAATCACTTTCCCACCCAATCGAAGCAGATCAAGCTTTTGCCTCCGATCTATAGATCAAGCTTTTTCCTCCGATCTACTAAATTCTCTCATGACATTTCCGTAAATCATCAACAACACCAAAACGTTGTCATAGAAACAGAGGACAACATATTGCCCGGGTGCATGAGAGAAATGGAGAAACAAAACGCCACTCACTTTATCCCCGAGCTCTTCGGCGAAATCCAGTTGCTTGAATGTGAAGGTGAGCGCGTCGTTGTAGGCTCCCTTCATTTTGAAGATGTTGCCCAGATTCGCACACGATTTCGCCTCTCCTGGCTTGTTTCCAATCAACCTGAAACAAATTTTTGATTTTTATTGTTCCTTGAATTCATTTTAAGTGTTTTTCTCACCTTTCAACAAGAATATCATATGTATGAAATTTCAAAGCTTGCTCGTAGTCTTTGAGCATTGTGTGCGCATTTCCCAACTGACAGTAGATGGCAGATAGTAGCGAGAAATCATCTGTTCCTACTTCCAACGCCTTTTTCAACAGATCAATTCCTGAAAATTGTTTTTCATTCAAGTTTTTCTTTTTTTTTTTGCTCACCTTGCTCATACTTTTGCATACGAAAAAGACGTTCTCCTTCCTGAGTCAGTTTGTAGCAGGAGCGATCTTGCATTGCACCTTTCCCAACTGTAAAAATCAATAATTATCCTTGCCACGTTGCGTTTTGACAAAGAAAAAATGAAAATAACACGAATTTTGACGAAAAATGAAGGAAAAATTCTTGAAGAAATAGATAGACTTGAAGAAAACGGGATTTGTCGGAGAGAAACAAGTGAAAAGTGTTCGAATGATTTATTGGAACGAGTACGGACCAACATAGTCTTTTGTTTGTTCGTTGCACGGCCCCTCTGTATGCGAAAAGAAACACTACTTTTGCGTCTGCGTCTCGCACTCTCTCCTCTCTTCACCCCAACAGCACACAAAAAATGTGCTAGAGGGGTGCGCGCTGACGTCATATCTGACCCAGCTTTTGAATGTCGAAAGAGTGGAATCCTTTTAAAAACAAAAAATGAGACCATTGAAAATTCAGGAATAAAAATGGGTTGGGTGATGGTTCATCGCATTAAATAGCTCTATTCAAAGTATATATGCTTTTGGCTTGTAGCGTTTTTAAGGCGAATTTTCATCCGGAGCAAAACAAAAAAGCAGGAGAAATTGAATGCGACTGGCGACTGAGTCAAGACATGCGAATGGCGGAAAAGCACCTGAAATAGCAATTAAAATACAAATCACCATGACTATGTATTCCATTTCCTTGACAACGTCCCCTTCTTTTTTTTGTGCCACGCTCGTTTGTTCCCTCTTTTCTTTCTGAACCGTTGACTCACAGAGATAGCTGGAGAGCACGGAGACACGCATAAGGGCGCATTCACGCTTGTGTATGTTGGGTTTCCCTGGTAACCGAACGCATTGAATTTCGGGAGGAACCAAATAAGTTATTTGCGAGCAGAAGAAGAAGTTCAAAATGACGAGCAATATGACCTCGTTCATTATGCATTTTCTGAATGATGAGCCATTCAATCTTAACTTGTCTACACTCCAATTTGACAGTATGCAGCCACAGCAACTGCTTCAATTGCTGAGTAACGTTCTCTGGTGAGTTAATTTGAAATTATGGAGTTCTGAGAAAGTTGGAACTAAAAGAGCGTTTTTTTGTGTTTTGAGACAACAAGAAAACAAGTAATGTAGGTACGAGATTTTTTGGTTTTTTTTTCAAAGTTTTTTGTAGCGTGGAAACGTTTAAGGCAGAAGACCCTTCTTTCGAAAAAAATGTGGGCATCACTGTACTTAGGCGTTACTATTTTTACAGTAATCCTCTAATCTAGTTGCAAGTTTTGAGGAGCTTCTATAGTAACTATCTAAGGAAGGACTAATGCTACACTTGTTTTATGGTTTCTTAAATTATGGAGATTGAAAAATTGTTGGAAGAAAAAAATTTTCCAAACGAAATTGCCACGTAATATTTTGGCAAAATTCACTTGAATTTTCGATATGTTCTATAAAATTTCAAAAATCGAAGAACCCGCGAGCTGAGAACTAGTGTAACTTTTCAGCTGGATCTTTGACCAAGAGCGAATTGATATAAAACGGGAAGCAGCCGAGGAAACAGCAATTCGCGTTTTGAATTCTCTCCGTATTCTTCGCTACCGTCCACCACAAGACCAGGAAGAACAGTAAGGGGACAAATTGAGGGCAATAAAAGGGCCAATGACAGCCAATAACAAAATTTTCAGAGAAGAATGGCGTGCCGGGATTGTTGAGGGTCGCAAGGGCAGCCTCTATCCGTTGCTCGTTTTTCTGTTTGAGAATTCGGAAGCGTTGAAAGAGCGAGCATATTTGGCAAAATATTTGATGAAGGTAATGAATTGCTGTGCTGGTGTTGGAGACTGACAGAGCTCTATGCTCTACCAACTTTCCTCTTTTTTTGTGGAAGAAAAGAAAAGGGAAGAGGAAGAACGCTCAGTGTCATTATTTTTGAAAAATGAGAAAAAAGAAAATGCTGGTAATTTGTCAGGAATGCAAGAAACTTGCAGAACAAAACTTGGTTATGAGTCAGAAAGAAAAAAGTTGGCCTGAAAAATATGGGAATATTTTCAGACTGATGTTCCTGGGGAATTCTTCGACTATGATATTGAGGAGCTTCAGAATGACGTTACGGAATTGATGAACGAGTTCAAGGTGAATCATATCATAACAGAATGAACATAAAGCCGTCATCATAATTCCAATAAAGCTGCTATTTTTCAGGAAATCCACGCGGAAACCAAGGATATTATGGCGGATGTACTTTTGTTGAATGATATCAAAGAAGATCTAAAGTCGATGGAAAAAGAAAAATTAATTTTAATCCGTAAAATTGAGAGAACAGAAGCAAAAGTTCAGACTATTCCATATTTTGAAAAGTGTGGAAGCTAAAATGTTGGGTATGTGACTAATGATTTTTTCAGACAAATGCAACTAGCTTCTCAACTTCGTGGAGAGAAGTCTCGCTACGCGGAACTCATGCAACAGAAGCAGATTGAGAGACAAAAGGTTCGGTTTCTGCGCTTTCATAAATGGGAAATAAGAAATAAAGACAAAAGGAAAAGAAAATAAATCAGGCAACGTTTTCTAGCTTTCCAAAAAAAATGAGAAAAGAAGTACAAAAAACAGGCCGAGCTCAATCTTTTTGTTCTCGAGTGTGCCGTTTCCGTTTTCCTTCAATTTTTCCTTTTTCACAATGCATCAAGAATCAGAAACAAAGTCTTTAGGTGCTGAACATTGAGTCCAGAATCAATCGCATGAAAATCAATTTGAGTGAGGCTCAAGCGGTCGCCGACACGTTGGACGAACAAGCACTAATGGAAAAATTAGAGGTATTTGGTCGTCGGTTCCGTTTTCTGATTAATTAGAGTTTTCCTAGGACGAAGTTGCAACAAATACATTTCTGGCAAATGGAAAATTGTTTAATGAGATTGAATATAAGGAGAACAAGCTTCGAGAGTTGATAAACATGGCAAATTCAAATTCAGTAACAGAAGAGGATTTACAGAAAATGACCGAAGATGTGAGTAGATTGTGAAGCAGTCTTTAACTGATTTACAGATTTCATTCTTTTTTTATATGTATATGTCTTTATATTTTAACACATGTCCTTTATGTCTTTTTCTACAGCCTCGTCCATTGCATGAAATACCAGACGATTATTTTTTCAAAGTTTTTGATACGCATGACTTAAAAAGAAAAATATAAAGCTATGAAGAGCAGGTAATTTTGAATCTTTGAAAAAAAACTACTCGTTTGAATTTGATTAGAAAGTGTAAATTAGCACAGTGCAGAGAATTAGAATATCTGTGTTTTTTGTGTGACACTTTCTGTTAAAATGAAATTTGGGGATGAGCACCATAGTAAACTAACTTGTCCTTGAAACAATGGCTTCAGACGTCAGACAGACGTCAACGAAAGTTTTCTAATTTTCAACTACCCTCAAATATGTTAATTGTTTACTTTAAACGTTGAAATTCATCTATTTCTGTTTATACTACTCTGAAAAATTTTCAGATCGAAGAAATGAGGAAACGAATTCGCAAGCTAGAAGATGAGAGAGACCACAAGGAAGTGGATATAGATGAGAACATGAGGTCAGTAAATCCCTTATTTAGCATTTTGTTGTTGTGTTAGAGCACTCAATGATGTGCCACAGAGAAAAAAGGAGAAGAGATGTTTATCGTTGTTTTACATGCGCATAAATTTGCTCTCAAATCGTTGGTTGCTAATGAAAAAGACGAGACAAAAAAAAGCGAAAGAGAAGAATCACAAGAGTCTTAAAGGAAAAAAGGAATGGTGATGATGACGATGCTCAGGGGCACAATATGTGCTCTTCTTTTTTTCTGATTGAAAGTCGCATTGTCAAGTGCTTCATGAATGCCGAGAAAGACGTCGTTGTCGGAAAAGAAAAAGAAGAGGAATTGGATGAGAAGAAAATTTAGAAATATTCTAGACAATCATGTTTTGGAACCAAGAATTGAAAAGAAATAGAATGAGCAGATTTTTGAAAAATTTAGATAACATTATTTCAAACAGAAAAAAAAACTTGATTTTTTGCCAAGCGGTTATCATTTTCAGCATTTGAACAAATAAAAAAACTCCACTACAAAACTTAACAATCTCAATATACATAAACCATTTTGTCAGCTGATTGTGCTTTGTACATTTCGAAAAGAGAAGGAACAAAGAGCGAAAATTACATTTTTTGTAAAAAAACTGTTTTGGGGGCATTTAGCTATTGGACAAAACATTTTGTGAAGATTTTAAGCTACGAAAATAGATTAAAGTTTCCTTGAATAGAAGCACAACAGTACGGTCAACTGTGAGCTCAATTATCTCGATGCCTGAAAAAAATATGAAACATTTGTCAGCTGGTAAATTATGTATCATAATATCACTCAGAATTTATCAGTTGACAATTTTTTCTTATCTTTCAGACGAATCGAAATAATCCCGCTCAAAGTCTGGATGGGTTTCTATTAGAGGAAATACGGTATGCATTTTATTACCATATACACACTATCTAAAATTGAAAAAAGTCCAGACTTTTTTTTTATTTTTCAAATCTCGGATTGTTTCAAATTCCAAAAAAACCCAAATTTTAAAACCTTGAAATTATTTTCGGCCCACTTTGAACATTTTATTTGCCTGTATCATCACAGTGGAAAACGTTCTGATGGGAAAACCTCTCGGAGCAAATAATTTTAATTTTAGTGTTGTTTCAGTTACGACTTTTTCATTTTTTCCGGTTTTCGGTATTTCCGTGAAATGGCAAAACACGAACCCTTCTATTGTTAGTTCAGAAATATCTAAAATCAGCCGGAGAAATGTTTTTGTGAACTGTATTCAACAGACACATTTTTCTTTAAAAACTCGAAAAAGAGTCCGAACACAAAAAACTTCACTAACCTTTCTTGGTAAAAACATACGGCGTGTTTTCAGCGTGGTTCGTCATCAGGTCTCCACTCTCGAACGCAAGAAAGAGATAGCAGTGCAGAAATTGCAAGAGTTGAGGTGGGTGCTGAGTGGAGTCGTCTTTCTTCCCAAAGTCCTTTTTATTCCACTGGGAAAGGAAATTGAAATTGAAAAAAATGAAAGAAAAAAAAGAGGGGATGAGAAAACAGTGAAACGAGATGAAGCTCCTACTCAACTTTTGACTGCATGGAGGGGGGGGGGACCCATTTTTCAATTTCCGAGATTGCCCCAAATGACGGGCGCAGAAACATCCAGATAATGAGAAACGAGTGGAATTCCAAGAACTTCAGTGTAATCAAGGAAATTGAAAATCCTACAGTATGACAAAGACGTGACTTTTAGGCAAGATCTTGCAAGAATCGAAAAAGACGTTGAAGACCGAAAGAACGATCTGAAGGACAAAATGGGCGGAGACGTGGTGTCGAATGTGCAAGTGAGTGGAAGAATGGAGTTGTGTGTGTGTGTGTGTGTGTGTGTGTGTGTGTGTGTGTGTGTGTGTGTGTGTGTGTGTGTGTGTGTGTGTGTGTGTGTGTGTGTGTGTGTGTGTGTGTGTGTGTGTGTGTGTGTGTGTGTGTGTGTGTGTGTGTGTGTGTGTGTACTGGGAAAGAAAGAAAAAAAAGTTGGATGGAACGACGTTTTTTTTCAGTACCGCAAGTATTTGGAGCAATACAGAGCAAAAAGTGAGGAGCAGAAAAGGAAAAGACTGGAAGAGGAACTCACTTATGCTGAGAAAGGCGTTCTCAGTGGTACTGTGGATATACTTTCGAAAAGATTCAAAGAACTAGAGTCTCATATTGTAAGTTTAATTGGGAAAAAATAGAAGTGTAAATTTCGGAAGTTCTGGATTTAAAAATCTTTGTGAAAATAAATCTGTCAAACCTATTTTTCACAGAAGTTACATGAAATTGTCTTGAACAAAAACATAAAACCCATGCTGTGTACCGGAAACACCCTAATAGAACCTAGACCTTTAACTTTGAGCCAAATTATCTCAGTTGTTTTGAAAGATTTCAAAAAGAGATTGACTGATAACAAAGTAATATCATAAAACATTCTGTTAGTGGACTTTGAAAATATTTCACAACTAATGAAATGTATGGACTTTAAGTTGACGGCTTAGGAGCATTTTATCAGAGACATAAACGACAGACCGTAAATATTCAAAAAATGAAGATTGCAAAAATTCGGAATCGGAAAGTAATTTAAAAGATTTTCAAATATGGCCAACTGTAGGTCAAACTTCACTTTTACTGTCGGAGTTTTCCATTTTCGTTTTGACAGTTCACAGAATTATCGCGACCCTCTGAACCTCAATAAAGAATTACCGTAAAAATTCTCGCAAATAACATAAATCAAAAAATCCTAAGTTCAAACTATAAAGAACAAAAAAATTAAAAATACCGTAAGATCTAAATTTTTCAGGAGAGCCTTGGCGGTGAAGTGGTGGAAGTATTGAATGTTCCAACGAAATACGATCGTCCAAAAACTGCAGCTCCGCAAACAAACGATGCCGAGGTGAGGGATTAAAAGTTTTGGATTTCGAGAACTTTAGAGAAAGACTTTTGAAAGACACACTAAACCATTTTTGAAAGTCAAAACTCGAGTTCAATTTAACAATCCACAAGGGGATTATATGTTAGAGGGGTTATGAAGACTTTGACGAACTTAAAAAACGAGACAAGGGAGAATGAGGAGGAGCAATTTTTTTGAAGTTGAAGTTCTTCGTCCGGGTTAGCAAAATGGAAGAAAATTAGGATATTCACATTATTATCGGAAAGTATACATTGATACATTCATCCTTCAGGATATCAAATTCGAGATGCAAGACATGATGAGAGCGTTGGACGAGAGAAAAGAGAGAATAACGGATCAGCGGCAAGTCAGAGACGAAATGAGAAATGCTTTGATTGTAAGTGACAACATATATAATTGACACCTTTTGATAGATTATTTTAGAAAATGACGGAAGAACTTGAAGAACGTCAGAAACAACAAGCAGAAATAATGTCAGAAATACAATTGAAGCACCGGATGAAAGTAGATGTAATTGGATACTGATTGATAAAGTGATGATAATATTGTTGATTACAGAAAATCAAAGCTCTCGAAGATTCGATTGCAAATTGCAAGGAAGATATTCCAAGGCTGGCTAAGGAATTACAAGGGTTGCTGGAGGATAAGAACAGTTTAGATGGAGTCGCTGGATCTAATTTGGAGGTTTGGCCTTTACTTTGAAAAAAGAAATAGTTTTTAACCTCATCTTCTTTCCCACAAACATCCTCACAAACACAATTTAGCACGTCCGCATTATCCATCTAATCTAGTGCACATGTATTTCTTAACTTTCAATTTTTTACAGGATCTAGTTGCTGAAGCTACCGGGAAAGAAAATGAAATCGATGCTGCTGTTGGAGAAATTGGAGATGTGGATGAGCAACGGTATCAAGCAGAAATGTGGAAAGATGTTCTGTCAATGTTCGAGCTCAAGATGGATTTCATAGCTGGAAAACTTGATGCGCCTTCATACCCGTATTGATCTTGAAGCCAATTATTTTTGCTGGATCCAAATTGCTTAAAAATATTTTTTCAAAAAGTTTATTGATAATAAATGTAAATACGTGACGAAAAAAAATTAATGAGTGTTTTTTTGAAAATCATTAAAGAAGAAAACTGTGATATTGATGAAAAAGTAGTTGGAAATATTTTAATGCGTATTAATTACCGTAATTCCAATAGTAAAACTTGATCCTATACTTAGAAATCAATCATCTTGGTTTCTATAGGAGGTATTGAAAAACTGTCCACTGATAAAAATTTTGCGCTAATTCTACTGACATTTTATCAATTGACACATTTTTAATATCTCTTAAGAGCCCCGAGATGAATGAGCATCAACGTGTAAGCCGTTGTATTAGTGGAAAAATGACGGTAACTGAAAATTAAGTATTGAAATTCTAATATGAAATATTGTCACAATAGAATCAGTGAATCGATGAGAGACGAAATTGGAAGTAGAAAGAAATTTTGGGGCGAAAACATAGGAAATTAAAAACGGGCAAGCTTTGAAGAGATTATCATACTGCACTCGTATTTTTAGCATCGCTGATAGGTCGTCAGTTGATCAGATGCCTAACCAATTCCATCGGAAGTGGGAAGATGATTGTTGAATTTTTCTCCGCACTGCAAAACGAGAATATGTCATCAATCTTAGAGTAAGTTGTTTCAGTTAAATACACATCATTTCCTCTCTGAAGATGGTGTCATTGACTCACGCGACACTATTCAATGTTTGCAGATAACGCAGTTGAAGAGCTGCTGGGGACTGAGCAATGACAGATGCGGCTTCACGTAGAGAACGTGATGCCTTCTGTTCTCCTTCGGCAGCGATGACCTAGAATAGTTGAACTAACAATTTGAAAAGAAAAAAAAATAAAAAGAATTACCTTAGCACGAGCCTCACGAGTGGCTTCAGCTTCTGCTGCCATAGCACGTTGAAGTTGAATTGGCAGACGGACGTCTTTGCTGAAAATCAGATTTGCATTATGATAATTTTTAATGATTACAAATAACGCCACTCAGTGTACATATACTGGCACAATACAAAAGTTATCAAAAATCTATTTGTTGATAGAATGTGTTTCATGATATCTCCAAAAATTTTGAATCTTCAGATGTCTAACTTCTAATTTTTTCAAAAATTGAGATAATGAAGCTAAAAAAGCAAGTGTAAGTTGGCACATGATGTACTTGAACTGCTGTTGTTTTGCGAGAAACAATTTCTATGGAAATTCATAGATACTAAAAATTTGGATCAAATATTCCAACTCACATCTCAACCCGCTCCACTTTGATTCCCCAGCTCTCAGTGGCTTCATCAAGAATCGTTTGCATAGATGTGGCAAGAGTTTCACGATCGGACAAAATTTCAGAAAGACTTCTGGTACCAAGCATGTTTCGAAGAGTGGTTTGAGCTAGCAATCTAGTCGAGTGATGAGCATTCTCGACATTAGCAACACTGACTGTTGCATTACAAATCCTATAATAAATGACAGCGTCTACAGAAGTGGTCACCGAGTCCTTTGTCAGAATTTCTTGTGGTGGCACACTGAATGATACGGTTCTCAGGTCCACCTTGGTGTATGATTCTATGCATGGCAGCACGAAGAAAATTCCTGGAAAATATATTCCTAAAGTCTGCTCAATGAACATAAGTCTTACCTGGTCCCTTTGCACCACCTCCAATAAGTCTACCAAGTCGGAAGATCACAGCACGCTCATATTCCTGTACTACTTTCATACAAAAATAGATTGATACTGGGAATGTTGAAATCACAATAATCCACGATAAGCCCATTAAGAACCAACCGCAAAATCCAAGACCGGTGTCATAGTGTTCAGCTGAAACAAAAAATTAGAACTGATTGAACGGAATAATCAAATGATTTTTTTAAAAAAGGAAAAATTCCGTTTATCATGAATTCTGTTTTTTTTTCAAATCCTAAAGTGTTTTCAAAAAACAATGTGGAGCAGAATAAACAAGCATCAATTAGCTCAGAGATGCAACACTCACGATTCATGTGTTTTGGATAATAGCTGAGCTTGAGTTGTGCTAAGGACTGTCGTCTTGCCTCTCGTTCTTCCTTTGCAAAAATCAACGGGTTGAGTGTGAACCTGAAAAAAGGGAATGAGGATTCAGTCAACATGAATTTCAAAGGACTCGAAACGTTATCAATTTTAGAATCACAGAATCATGTAATTTCTGGTTACTAGAACTCGAATTTTTTAAATTTTAAATTTTGAGAACCCAAAATCCTTCATTTCTAGTATTTCAGGATCTCAAAATCCCAAAATGTCCAAATCTCAAAATATCCGAATCTCAAAATCATGGAACCCTAGAATACCAGAATCTATTATAGGTTGGAAGGAAAGTTACTGTCCATTTTTTCATTAGTCAATAAAACAAAAACAAGATTAAACCAAGATTGACAGTATGTACCGTCGGGGTCCATAACATGTTGTCTACATGTTAATAACTTGTGGATACCATCCCTCCAAACGCTAGCTGGCTGCGAATCAAACTATTTCTTTGGTACAGTTTTTCTCAACGATTATGTTAAAGTCCTTGCGCTACAGATGGCGTCGTATATCTCCGAATAACCAATATTCTGATAGAACAAAACCAGGACTTTCACGAGGGTGAAGGAGAACCGTCCAGCCAAAGCGGCTCAGATACGGAGTGACATTCCGTGCAACATTAGGTTTTGCATTTTTTTAACGAAAGTCAAGTCAGACTCGGACAGATTCAGCGGGACGGTTCTCCCTCACCTACTTATAGTCCCGACTTGGCTCTATCATATTATTGATTATTTGGAGATGTACAAAGCCATCTGGAGAATGACGAATTTTGCACCATTTATGAGAAAAACTGGAAAAAGGGATATTTTGATTCGCGGCTAGCTAGCTATCGGAGGTATGGTATTCCCAAGTTACCAGAATGTTGGTAACTTGTTGTGGACCACGACGGGGCACACTGCTAATATTGGCTTAATCTGGTTTTTGTATTATTCAGAAATAAAACAAGGGACAGTTAGTTTCCTTCCAACATAATAATAGGAGTTTGTGAATACCGGAATTGCAGAATTCTAGAAGATCAGTATCTCAGAATCCTATAATTTGAATATCATAGATTTTAGGAAATTAAATCACCGAATCGCAGAATCTCAGAGGCTCAAAATCTCAGGAATCTCAGAGTCCCAGAATCTCAGCATTTCGAAATCTGAGATTTTGAGAATCTTAGAATCCCGAACCTCAGAATCTCAGAATTTGAGAATATTAGAATCCCGAATCTCAGAATTTCAGAATCTGAGAATCTGAGAATCTGAGAATCTGAGAATCTGAGAATCTGAGAATCTGAGAATCTGAGAAGCTGAGAATCTGAGAATCTGTGAATCTTATAATATCAAAATCTCAGAATCTCAAAATCTCAGAATCTCAGAATCTCAGAATTTCAGAATCTCAAAATCTCAGAATCTCAGAATCTCAGAATCTCAGAATCTCAGAATCTCAGAATCTCAGAATCTCAGAATCTCAGAATCTCAGAATTTCAGAATCTCAAAATCTCAGAATCTCAGAATCTCAGAATCTCAGAATCTCAGAATCTTGAACTTCAAACTCGAAATTTCTACATTTGTGTAATCCATAACTGCAGAACATCCATTGATGAAAATCGGAGTTTCAGAATTGTTTCTTTTTCCATCATCTGATTCGCATTTTTGTTACTTTCCTTATAATTTCTTATAATGTCAATTTTTGGACCCTGAAATTTCTCTTCTACGAATACATTGCTCAGAATTCAATTCTGTAATCTACTGGGATGAATCCCTTGAGATTTTCCCATGCACGATTAATAACTGAGTAACGCGTTCTCAAGTTTCATAAGTCATTTCTAACTCGTCTAAATCGCTAATAATTGAATAGTGCAAGATCATCCTCGAAAATCTAATGTGTGCTTTTCTTCTGAACCCCGTTTTGCTATGCTTAGGACTGGTGTCCGTTAGAAAGACTCAAAAATAACCTGAACGAGAACCTGCATCCGTCGAAATCGTGTGTTGGTCAACAAGAGTCATCCACCCCCTAATTATCTTAAGAAACTCTTGTGTCTTTTTGACTTCACGAACGAAACCTTTTGGTTTCGTGTTTAGTACTTTTTGTGAAAGAATAGTCGAAAACGAAAGATTCTTTTTCGGTTGGTGATCTCTTCAAAAATGTACCCTATTTGTTGTAGGAAAGAAGTGCTTTGATGAATGAGTTCGGATTACTCAAAGTGTAATCTTCCGTGTACGAGCAAGAAGTGTGGCTCAACGATTTGGGAAGAAGCGCACTCGGAATGTTTCTGTCAACTATTTTTGGTAAAACAGAAGACGAAGAAGAAGAAAAGAATGAGTGAATGAAAGTAATAGTTGGTCAGAGTTCAATCAAATGGTCTAGGTAAAGGTGTAAGATAAATGGGTGGACGTGAGACCGGATTTCACACAAGAAGAAATGAAGGGGGAAGGAGTTCGTTGAAAAGTACTTACCTGCGTCCCATGCGTCCACGAGGTTGTCCGGTGGGTACCGGAATTTGAATGTTTCCTTCATCATCCGATTCCATTAGTCTCTCACTCTCGTTTGATGAAGAGTCACCCGAATCACCGCCGTCTGTAAAACAAAGAAAAATCGGCTTGTGCAATTTGAGAAACTTGGCTAATGGTTAAGTCCCGCCAGTCTAGGTAATTGAGCTTCCCTCTCTTCTAGAGGCGGAGCATTTACTTTTCAGAAGAAAAGAGGAAACATGAACCGATGTGAGCGGATTATCCAATTACGGACGAATGCAAACCAATTGGTTTACTGTTAAAGATCAGTTTACAATAGTCTCATAATTTTCGACTAGTGAGAAGGGGGAGAAGAAAGTTCTCGTCTCGTTCTGAGCGGAAAAGAAGAAAGAATGACCCATGTACATATTTCAAAACCAGGGCAGCTGGACTTATGAAACTAATCCAGTGGGGGCTTGTCATGGCCCTCAAAAAACCTTCCCATTTTTCTACAAAACGACGCCCCTTTCAAAAGACCTTCTTCATTCCATTTCTTCTAACTTACGAGGTGATCCTTGACGCACTTCCAGAAATTCCATCTAAAAATTAGGGCAGGTGGTAGAGGTTAATACGTGTGTATATATGGATGAAGATGAAAGGAAAAACACAAGAAAGGGAAGAGCACGGAAACGGCGGAAAAGGGATGAAACCCGAAAAAAGGTTGTAAAGGAGGAATAGAAATGGGAAAATGTGTCAAAAAAGAAGATGAATCTGTGCAGAAGACGAGGAATAAGAAAATGGAAAAATAGAAAACGTTTGTTGTCCTAGTAACGTTTTCTTTTTCAAATAATTCTTTATTTTACGACGAATCTACTATATATATAAATTTTTTGTTTTGAATAAGACAAGGCTTTTCGAATCAATTTTTTGGAAAGATTAAGAAGCAATGTCACGGAAAAGAAGGGAACATAAGCAGAAGACGACGACACAAGCCGGATCAGTGGAATTTGGCGAATTTCTTTTCTCGAATTTTACCTAAGAGAGTTTGTGTTTGATGCTAGTTCTTTGACATCTCTCTTTCTAATTTTAAAAAAGAAAGCATCGTTAAACAGGAACTAATGTCTGGGCGAGGGTATGCCAATAAGAAAATGTTTGAGGTTTTTCAAAGATGCGCACTTTCATGGAGCGTGAACTTAAACTCAAAATCAGATAAGACCTAGGAGAGTGAGAAAGAAGTTTGAAGATTTTTCTGAAGAAGAAAAACCTCACATACTGTTAATTGGCTTCATTTTAGCAACATCTCCTCATTTACCTCCTAATAATTATTTTTTCAAATCTTCAGTCCCTTTTCTCTATTTGTATATTGCTTTTTTGCGTGGGCTCGCGTATACTCGCAACTTTGAAGAAAAAAGAAACATTTTAGTTAGCTACTCGATGAGCTCTCTAATTGCCCTTATTTTGGAAAACTTTGCTACTCGACGCCATCTAATTGTTTCTAGTGCGAAAAAGCGAAAAGAAAAGAGGGTTTTTCATAAAAATAAAAAGTCAAGTTTGTGAATTCATTCTCTGTGCGGCGACTATTTTTCTCACGAGATGTCCATCTTATTATCCCTCCCATCCCCTTTGTAGAGGTTTTAGTATTTTGAACGACCACGTTGTTTTAAAATTTCAGATTTCATTGCATTTGGTTTTTGGGCCTTCAAAAACAGGAATACTCAATTGAAAACAATTAAGCTTTCATCTCGTTTTCCACCCTCTCCTTTTCCAGATTGATACGAAAAAAAGCTGGGGAACGTCTTGAGCCTAGCCGTTTTTCTTTGAGCATGACCTATTCGTATTTCCTTTTGGTCAAATGTTTTTTCGCGCCTTTTCGCCTCTCTACAACGTCTCGTCAAGCCGAACCGGACCGAGAGCTAATTCCCAGAAGTACTTTGTGTTGATTTGTTGTTTTTCACGCTAATACAGAACAACAATTTTTCAACGCCACCAAGAGTAGATCATCCATCATCTACTGCGGGCTCCATTGAATTTAGCGCCTTGCTGAAGTTAGAGTAGTCGTACGAAAAATCCAAGTTTTGTACCTGGAAAAAAGGGAAACCGAAAAAAGGAAGATGAGATGAAAGCAAGTTTTGGCCTAACAATGACTACAATGAGACGTTTATAGATGGCGCCGTCAAGCCCATCTCATGTTTTATTCTCTAACTGGCGTGAGTTGGTGTTGAAGCCACGATCCTATTGACTCTTTTTCTTCTTCTAAATGAAAAGATGAGACAGAATCGAAAGCCTAAATTTCTCAAAAGTCAAACTTTTATTACCCACACCACTGATTTTTTCATGAGAAGGAACTCGGAACCAACCGAATGAACTATTTCAAATGAATTTGAAAGACATTCAGCTTCACTTCGTTTCATTGCTTTTAACCGGAAGGGAAAAAGAAAAAAATCTAGGAAAAAAACGTTTTTTTTTAAAGTAAAGTGTTACCTATTTGGTCAGAAAACGAGATTCTGGTGCTCGATGTCCTTCGATTTCCGGAATTTATTGGAGACGGAGTCGCCGGTTCATCGCTTGGCTGGCTTTTCATTTTTTAGAAAACATCAGAAAAAAAATATTGAAAGAAAATATTAGGCTAATATCAAAAATCAGCGTAGTCTGATGATCCGTACTTTTCAATTTAAAGGATGGTGAAGACTCTCGATTCTCACTCTCATGACGAACGCCTCGAGCGAGGGAGCAAGAGGCGGAGCCCGGTGCGCCAGAGCACAACCATGTACAACTATACTCAACAACGAGCCGGCGCAGATACCCTCCACTTTTGTTCCTCAGAAAATGAAATTATGAAAATCTAACTCTCAACCAAAGATTTAGTTAAAATATTTTTACTGGTGAAATATTCAAATATTTTTTACTATGTTTCAAGTAAAATAAAAAATCAAATTGATAACAGAACATCAACTTGTAAAAAAAGATTTTGATGAAAATTTCAGAATGGGTTTAGAATAGCTTAGCAAGACACTTCTGAAACTTTTATAATCTGCGTTTCAGCCGAGTTTTATCAATATGAGTACCATTTACAGTTCGAAAACAAATCAAAGACAGTTTTCTCAACTTCTAGGACGTTTTGGATCATGAAATTTGGTGTGTTAATCTTTAAATTAAATACAATTCATTTTTTTTTCAGAAATTTGTATCTGCAAATCTCTATTTCTGTACTGAAAACACAATTTTCGGTACTGAAAATGATACTGAAACTCGGCTGAAACTGGCGAGCGGTTTCTTATCATTTTACAGTTATTCTTAACCAATCCCAAAAATTTTAATCAAAATCTGAATTTACAAGGTAGAGAGATTTTCTTGTGAGTATTAAGTACAATTGAAAATGAAAATGAGTACAAAGATGGGGTTAGAAGATGGAAAACCACGATTAGGCAAGAAGTGGATATTTGGAAAATACAACAAACGAGTTTAGGCGTATTTTCAATTGGGAGAAAAGAAAATAGGAAACAAATAATTTCAGAAAATTTTCTGACTGTGTTGTTTTTTTTCAACACTAACCCTTCATAAATCCGTTTTTCACTCTTAGACCACAATTGTTCCTTTCTCTGATTTATGGAAAACAATAAAATTTCCTTTTCAGCTACATTTTTGTCCAGATAACAGGAAGAGAAACAAACATCAACATTATAATCCTCTACACCTAACCAAGAAAAAAGTTTAGGCAACCAAAGAAGACAAAAGATGAGCCAAAAGTTGGGTGACTTTGAGGAGAAGTCGCTCATAGTCGGCCGCTTTTTCTTCGTTGCAGGACTTTTCTTTATCTATGAATAATGTGTGTCTTCTAGATGGGCCCACCACGTTTTTCATATAAATTTTGAATGTGTTCATCGGCTTTTTTTTTTGTTTTTTTGTTTGTTTCTCAAAAGCTGATTGATTACAAAACTGTTTTTATTAAAAACTTCTAGTTTAAAAAATTAGAAAAAACCACGTCAGTCATTTTTGTTTCCGGGTTGAGACCTTGGGTATTGTCTTTACTTTGAAAACCTTTTCAAATAATTCGGTGAAGCGAGTACTTCTGATTGTTGCACCTCACCTCTTTTTGGGTGCAAAAAAAGAAAGAAATCTAATTAAAAGTACAGAGCAAGAAAAAAGAAAAAGGAAGTACTTGAAAGCGGGAAAAGTAAAGCTGAGAGTTAGAGGAGACTGGAAAAGAAGACTTTTCCCTAAAACTGCCAAGATTCTCCAAAAAAAACTTAATTTCCTGTTTTCCCGGTGGAGAAAACCCAAAAACAGTTGATGGAATCAGAAGACTCGGAGAACTTGAGTTCTCTAAAATTTTTAAAGAAAAAAAAGTAAAGATGAAAGTTGTAAAGGTCAAATGAAATCGGTATACCTTCTGGATAGAAAAACTCTTTGCACTCATTGGACATCATCTCAGGCGTGTAAAACTCGACGGGTCCCGGGGCGACGAGGTTTCAGGAAGCCAGTTGGAATGGAATGTACAATGTCTCTTTTTAGGAGGACTGAGTTTTCGAGGTTTTCCGTGTCGAATGTATAGTGGTGTTTGAAAATAGTTGCCGTTTTAACCAACAGACTGGTGGGAGTTGACTGCCAAACACAGAGAGAAAGAGAATTTTGACTGGATATGAAAAATTGGAACAAGCAAAATAAATGAATGGTGGAAGATCTTGAGTAAAGATATGGAACGCACCAACCACAGAGGAAGACGCACGAGGATGAAATAAACCATGAACCTCTTTTTCTTTTTCTTTTCTTTGATGTGCGGTTTCCTTTTGACAGGCCTCCCGTCCAACATTCAGTTTTCCAACATTTGTAGTGGTGAACTACAAAATTGTTAAGAAATAGGGCGAGATATACACATTTAAACCCTTTTGTACGTAAAAAAAGAAAGAACAGATGATGTGTTATGATTGTTTGTCATTGTTGTTAGCATAAACAAGTACAGTAAGAAACTCCCGGAAGAAAACAGTAGGCTTTGAATATTGGAATGCGTTTTTTTTCTCTGATTTGTTAATTTAAAAGTAAGGTCTATATTTAAAAAACCTCATATTGCTATTTTAGTATT